TTTGGGGGAGCCCTTTTGGAGTAAATTTGGAAGTCTTGCAATGTAGAGCAAAGGTGAACTGGAGTGGAGAAAACTAGTAGAGAGAGGAGGTATGCTCTCTTGGGTTCATTTTTTTTTTTTTTAAGATTTTATTTATTTATTTGACACAGAGAGATCACAAGTAGGCAGAGAGGCAGACAGAGGAAGAGGGGGAAGCAGGCTCCCTGCCGAGCAGAGAGCCCGATGTGGGGCTTGATCCCAGGACCCCGAGATCATGACTGAGCTGAAGGCAGAGGCTTAACCCACTGAGTCACCCAGGTGCCCCTCTCTTGGGTTAATTTGTTCTTCGGGTCATTCATCTAAAAATCCTTCATTCATTCACAAAACAAAATCTGCCGTAATAGTTTTCTAAATGTCTAAGGAGTGCTTTTGTGTCCAAAAGGAATGTCCTAGACTTCATTAGGTTTTATCATTCGATTTACTAAAGCTTTGATTTTTAAACCTAGGTTTTCTTATAAATCTCCTCTATAAATCAAGAGGTTTTGTATAAATTAAGATGATTCCCACTTGTTATTTGATTAGTACTTTGTTAATTTAGATTGGACAAATTGAGTTTTGACAATTAGTACTGTTTGGAAGCTTGGATAATTAGGTTTCCTTAAATATTTTAGACTGTGTTCATAAGTTTAACACGCCTGGTTTCCTCAAGTTCTTCAAATATCTGACAGGGTAGACTCACCAGCCTAACAAGCAAAATCTTCTAAGCACTTAACTCTTGCAAACCAAATAAAGTTAAAATGTCATAAATTTGGTTTTCTCAAACTTGGTAATTCTTTTTTACAGGCTGATTCCCAGTCCTTAAACCTTTCATCTTAAAAATCTCAAATCGGAAAGGAGGACTCATTTAAAACTGAAATCAGAGGACTGTTTTTATTTACATTCTTTAATATGCCCCATATTCTTTTAAGTATTATAAATATACAGAGATTACCCAGTGATCACAAAGATTTCATCCTGTACTTTATTCATATTATGATTTACTCCCTCAGCTCCCCTCTTTTTAAACCTTCCCAAGGATTTAAAGTCATTTACTCCCAAGAAAGGGCAATACGTCTGTCCTCTCCAGTGGGCTCTGAACCATCGTACGGGATCAAGAGCAAGACGCAGGGATGGTCACGTTGTACTCCAGAATGACTGTTCCAGAGCCAGAGCTGGATACACTGTAGTTCTCTCTGCTGTGTCCCCTGTGTCCCTTGAGCTGGAATCTCATTTCACCATGTCGCAAACACAGATCTTTTGTGTTCCTTTCACATTTCCATTGTAATCCGCTTCTGTAACCCCTTTCGACGTTGCTCACCCAGACCTGGGTCAGTGGACTTTGGTACCCTGGGTACAGGTTGTACCTAATTGCCTTTGCCACTTGATGGGATGCAGCTAATGTTCTTCTTGCCTGGATGGCTTCCGCATGCTTTCGACATTTTTTCCTCTCTGACTCTTCAGCCACATGTCTGGAGTCATTTTACAAACAAACGGCAGTTCCCCCATTCGGTCACACGAGCATACCAAGAGACAGAACCCGAAGGAAACCAGTTTTGGGCAAAAGAAAGGAATTTATTAATTCTCACTTCGAGCCTCCCAGGGATTGCTTCTGTCTTCCCAGGGCCTCAGGTATGGCTGGATAGGGGTGCTCCTGTGACATCCTTCCTCTCAGCTCTGCTTCCCTCTGTGCTGCTCGCTGCCTTCTCGGGCAGGTGAGGATGAAGTGGTCCCCGGAGGTTCAGGCTCCGTTTGCATCTCTTCCAGAGTCCCGCTCCGTTCTTCTCAGCGTCTCCGGTGTGGTCATACAGGTTGGGGGAGTGCTGTCTTAGGCCAAGTTAAAGAGATCATTCCAGCACTTGACGTCTGTTCAGAAGTTTATGGATGCCGTGAAAATCTAAGAGAGGCACCGAAGAGCCAGTGTTAGCCCACGTTCCCTTGTTGGGGCAGCATTGTTATCACAGGCATCTCCTCCAACGACTTCACCTTCCAGTCCCATGTTGGAACACACTTCCTCTGATCTTGGTGGCTCGGGATCACTTACACCCTGAATCTGGGGGAAAGGGCAAGTTTGAAGTAACCGATTTTTACATCCAGACAGACTTGCCAGTATCCCAAAAGATCCAGAAGGGAGGGGGACATGGCTGGTTCTCCATAGACAGGGTTTCTGGCACAAAGACCACTCTTGCTCAGCCCGGACTGCCCTCGGTGTCTCTGCGCCTTCATCCTCCTCCCTGGGGTCCCCACACCCACCTTCCCTGGTGGCAGTCACTGGTTTCTCCCTCTCTGGGCCGGCTCAGTCAGGGTAGCTCTGAGATGCTCCGGGCACCAATGTGGGAAGCAGCTTGTGTCCAATAAGGGCCCCATGCCCCACTGGCATAACAGCTTGGTGTTGAAAGGCCATACGGGAGGAGGGAGTACAATTTCAAAGCAAAAACTCCGGGCCTTGGATTCATGGGCATCTGTTACTAACTTCCCGCCTTCTCCCTGCCAGACACACTCCTCCCTTCAATCCTCTTTCTTCTTCACTGGATTATAGGAAGTTGTAGATATATTAAACTGCTAACCTCAGAGAGCAGATGCAATTAAAGACTCCTGTGGCCTTTTATTTATTTATTTATTTATTCTTAATCATCCTGAGAGCCGATTTGGGCCCTTTTTCATCTGTTAGGTCCTGCTCCCTCCAGCAGAGCCACATGGTTGCCAGCCTCGGGCTGTCATCCACGTGTTCCCCATAAAGAAACTGAGGCTTCGGTGTTATGACTTGTCAAAGAATGAGCTCGGGGGAGGAGGCTGAGTTCAGAGTCCACAGCTGGTGGCAACTTGCTGTCGGAGCTTGTCCTGTCTGTCCGCTGAGTGGAGTTCAGCCCTGAAGGGTTGGATAAGCATGAGCTGTGCGCCTGCAGGTTGAGGGGACGTGGCTCACCAAGGGGCAAGGTTGACGCCTGCCGCTGGAGGCGGGAGTGTGGACACGGCCCGTGGGTAAGACCTTCTAAGCCTCTGCTTCTCCTGAGACCATGAGCCGTGTCCCGCCATTCTGGTGCATGCTGAAAGCTGATATAGCAGAAAGCCATTTGGCATCATAGCAAAGAAGGTTCTGGAGTCAGAAGGGCTGTATCCAGGTTTTGGTCCATCTTTTGCTGGCTACCTGGTCTAATGCAACCTTGCCTGCCTTTCTTTCTTTTTTCTTTTAAAGATTTTATTTTGGGGCGCCCAGGTGGCTCAGTCTTAAGTGTCTGCCTTCAGCTCAGGTCATGATTCCAGGATCCTGGGATCAAGCCCTGCATCGGGCTCCCTGCTTGGTGGGAAGCCTCTCCCTCTCCCACTTCCTCTGGTTTCATTCCTGCTCTCCCTGTGTCTCTCTCTCTCTGTCTCTCTGTCAAATAAATAAATAAATAAAATCTTTAAAAAAAATAAAGATCTTATTTTAGAGAGAGAGCACGCACATGAGTGAGGTGGGGCGGAGAGCAGAGGAGAGGGGGCAATAGTCTCAATCTGATTCTGTTCTGAGTGTGGAGCCCGACCCTGAGCTCAATCCCATGACCCTAAGACTGCAGCCTGAGCTCGCACAAGAGTCAGGTGCCCAACCCACTGAGCCACCCAGGCACCCCACCTTTCTTACCTTTCTAAGCCTCGGTGCCTCTACCTGCACAATAGGGGAACAAGAGTACTTACTTTTCCACTCGATCAAGTAGATCAGGTTATATTTGTACTGGAAGCTTACTTTGTAGTTTACTCGACTTCTCACTCCCACGAGTTTAAATCCACGAGTATTTCCTGAGCACCTGCTCTATACCCACCACCCTGCAACCAAACAGGAGAGAATGCAGCAGGCTTGGTTGGGGTGCGGGAGGTGGGCATCGTAGGTATGGGGACGAGGGGAGTCCCAGTCCCATGTCTGGGAAGAGGGACAACAAATGTAGAGTCTTGAACACGACCCCTGTTGGCACAGAAGGGACAAGAGCCCGTGGGATGAGAACCAGGAGGGATGAAGAGGCGGGCACGAGGCAGGACTGGAGAGAGAGGCTGGATCGGAGGCTCGTGGTCACTTCAAGTTTGGGCTTTAAGTGCCTAAGAAGCCCATGGAGGGTATTAAGCAGTGGACCCATAGGGTGTGATTCATGTTTCAGAAAGATAGTCCTGGCTGCTGTGAGGAGAACAGATTGTTAGGGAGAAGTGGGGCATGGGGCTCAGTGGCTTCTTGGTCGCCCAGGCAGAGCTGAGACCAGCTGGAAGTGCGGGGCAGCAGAAGAGGTGGAGGGCTGGGCACGTGGGGAGACGTTTGGCAGGTAGACGTGGTAGTCCCAGGAGACGGGTTAAAAGTCTTGGTGGCAGTGGGAGACGATGAGGAGAAAGAAGAACCATTGCTTGGAGACTGGACTTGAGCAGCTGGGGGTGGCCTTGGTGGATTTGTGGTTTGGGAAATGGACTCTGTTTTAGATGTATCCTATCCTATTAGAGTTAGAAGTGCTAATAGAATTGACAGGTTTCTGCTGACTTCTGAGGCTTTTCTTCCCCTGGCATTTGACTCCAGGAGTGGAGTCCAGAGCCTTCGTAGAGCACCCCATGTTTGCCTTCTGACCCCCCAGGAGAGTGCCGCTCTTGACACTCTCTGCCTCCAGCAATAGTCCCCAAGCCCACCGCTCATCCTCTGCCGCTGGGTCTGGGAAGTAGCCATTCGCTTCTGCAGAGTGTCCAGGGTGGACTTGAGGACGGGGTAGGAGGCAGGGAGCGTCTTTCAGCCACCTCTGCCCAACCACCCTCCATGTGGGGGAAGGTCCGTCTCCGCCACTTTGCCCAGCTCCCAGTCCAGGACAGCAAGGATAGACGGTGTCCTGGAGATGAGTGTTGTGAGAGGCAAGAAGAGCTTCGTCTGGGGCTTTATGCTGCAGGCACCTTCGGGGCTGGTATGCACTTGTCTGTATTGTTGGCCTGAGCTGACCCAGCGTGAGGTTTTGGTGCTCAGGATGTGTTTGTCTCAGCAGCTGGGATGACAGCAGCTCCGTCAGCAGCGGGATCAGTGACACCATAGACAACCTCAGCACCGATGACATCAACACCAGCTCCTCCATCAGTTCCTACGCCAACACACCTGCCTCTTCTCGAAAAAACCTGGATGTGCAGGTAAGCGATGGGCTCCTCCAGCGGCCCCTGCCAGCAGGGAGCCTTGGGCTTGAGGACCAGATGGGCCATCTGGGGTGAGCAGGATCCCCAGGCCCATGAAATGAGGCCTGATCATATGCTCGCTGCCTGTGCTCGCCTCTCACTAGCCCTGGCCTCCACCTGCAGAGAAAGGAGGTCAGGCAATGGGGAACTAGAAACAGGAATGAGGAAGCCTCACTGTTTTCTGTGAAGGTTTTGGTAAAACCATATTTCCTTCCTGGGCTTTCATTTCAGAATCTGCTTTTTGTTGGTTTTTTGTTTTATTTATTTATTTATTTATTTATTTATTTATTTATAAAGAGGATGCTGGACTCATTTGGTCATTCTTAGTCTGGAGTGTGTGTCCCCTTCTAGCCACAGTGAGCTGCCGCTGTCCAGGGTACATGCTGATCTCTGCAGAGTGATGGGGTGGGGGTGGGACCAAACATTGACATTCTCAGGCTGGAAGACCAGTATGTCCTGACCAGAGGTTGGGAACTATTGGTCTGAAGGTCACATCCTCATGGTGATATTTGTCCATTGGCTTATGGCATCACTTTTCTTTTAAACCAGGTTTCATGTCAAATTTTATTTGTTTTTAAATATTTTATTTATTTGATAGAGCGTACAATCAGGGGGATCAGCAGGGAAAGGGAGAAGCAGGCTCCCACCAAGCAGGGAGCCCAAAGAGGGGCTCGATCCCGGGATTCTGGGATCATGACCTGAGCCAAAGGCAGACACTTAACTGACTAAGCCAATCAGGCACCCCTGATTCCATGTCAAATTTTTAAAATTGCATTATTTCACATGAAAATGAGATTCTGATTTCTTTCAAAGATCAGAATTTTGCTTTCTTGAGCCTGGATTCTCCACATGGCAACAATCAACATGTATCCAAGTGTCTGCCGCTTTGAGACAGGGAGCCCTTGTCCCAGCGTGCTCCAGCTGCTCCTGGCCAGCTGCGCCCTTCAGTATACCTGCCAGACCCCAAGGTGCTGGAGTTTTCAGCCCCTACTTTAAAACTCCGAGACTGGATATCTCTGAGACTGTGTGTCTCCCGATACCGTGCTCCCTTCTGTTTGCTCCAAAGTGGATTCACGTGGATGCTTTCACTCAGCCTCATGGCGCTCCTTTGTGGGCAGAGGGATTGGTTCTAGCAAACCCATTTTACTAGCAAAAAAGTGAGGTGCCATCCTTATAGCCAGTCCCCAAGGTGGTACTGACCGGCACAAGGACTGGTCAGCTCTGGTGCCACTGGCTTCTGTGGCCTGGGATCTTTTTCATGATGGGTCCCTCCCACTGGTGGGGGCCACTGGCTGCGATGAAGCCACACGAGGGTCTGCTTGGGACACAGTCTCCCAGAGAGGCCTGGGCGAGGGCAGAACTGACACTTCTCTCTTCCCTCACTCCCATCCACACCAGCCTCCTTTCTCTCTTGTTTCTCTGCAAGACAGGAGCTGCTTTTGAAATTTCTATGCGTTCAGAGGTTATTTGTTTGTTTTTGTTTTTTGTTGGTTTTTTTCTTAGAGGACTGGGCTAAATAAAGAACATGTCAGAGTGTGGGAGTACTTGTGTCCCACAGAAATGTAGACATTGACTCCCTGAGGAAATATGTTGGGCGTTGCCTCTGGGATTGCCTGTGACTTCTTGAATTTGCACTTTCTCCGGAATTTCTAGTTATTTTTGAGTGAGAGTTGAATTGCGGCGGTGGTGGTGGTGGTGAGGGAAAAACACTACCCAAATTACAGAGGCACGAGATGTTAGGGGTGAAGATAACAGTCCACATCTTGATCTGAGTGGTAGTTATGAAAGTAGGTTAATTTTATAAAGCCTGTTCAGGCTCTATACTTAACATTGTGCATGGAGTATGTGAATGCTATACCTCATTTTAAAAGGGTGATTTAAAAAAGGAAAAAACCATACATAAGCCACTCTGCTTGAGAGCGATCACTGTTTGATCAGCGATTAGACACAAGTTAGAAACTCAGCCAGCCTGTGTCCCTGCCACTTACCCCTACCAACTTTTTTCGCTTTCCTCGTGGACACGAATTCCTTTTTTTTCCTGAGAGTCTTTTTTTTTTTTTTTTTTTTTAAGATTTTATTTGTTTATTTGACAGAGATCACAAGTAGGCAGAGAGAGAAGGGAAACAGGCTTCCCCGTTGCGGGGCTCCATCCCAGGACCCTGAGATCATGACCTGAGCCGAAGGCAGAGGCTTTAACCCACTGAGCCACCCAGGCGCCCCTCCTGAGAGTCTTTTTAATTTCAGGGTAACAGTAACAAGCTTTTAGACTCTCCTTAGATACTGAGGTGGAGAACCCAGAGAGGAGAGAGACCCGCAGACAGACAGACAGGTTTGTGGCAGGGAGAAGGTTGTGGAGAGGGTCCGGGAGGGAGGGAGAGATGAATAAATCAATAGGTTTCTCTTTTGTTTACTTTCAAGGTAGGAACAGTCTTGCTTTTAGACGTCAGTTAAGCCAACAAAACACTATCAGAGGAATCTCTTGTCTTTGTTTCCCTCCCACAAAGGTGGGCCGGTCATCTGTTTTCCACACTGATACAGAGTAAACATCGGGGATTTACAAATGATTACCTATCTGATAGACTCAGCTTTGGTTAAGGGCAGCACCCCCTCCTCTCTGACCAGCTCTTTGCTTTCATCTAGAAAATGTCACATCAGAAAAGGTTCAAGAATATGGCACAAACATGTCTTTTGAGCTGGTGCAGAAGGTTGATTTCAAGGGATGGAAGGAGTTTAATATTCATTGGGTTGGTTTGTTTTTTGTTTTTGCTTTTTTTGATTTTTGTTGTTGTTATTGTTTGCTATAAAACTACCTGAGTTTAAAATATTGAGATAAACACTAAGGCAGTAGTTCGTGGAATAAAATAAAGGCAGACTTGCACCAATAGTTACTGAGACTCCCAGGGAGGTGGTTTCTCTGGCATCCCTTTGTTCCTGTGAGGGAGTATCTCCAAATATTTGAATCAGCGTAAATTGCAGCCTCATCCCCTCCTCCCCTCATCCCACTCTGAGGAAAGCTAAGGGCCATTACTCCTCTCAGAGCGGCACCAGGCAACGGGAAGATGTGTGCTGCCATCATTCCCCAGGGCTCGCTCAGGTTTCTGTCACAGACTGGTTTCCCCCGATCGAACGGGGAGTGCGCAGTGTCCCAGCCGAGGCGGGGAGAGGCAGAAGAAGCAGCCGGCAGACGGGCCGGGAAAGTAGGCTGAGGACAGGTTGCCTGGCCAGGTTTGCACATCGGAAGAGCTTCTGAGGAAAAGTGAAAAGGAAACCCATCCAAGGAACAGGGAAGTCGTGGTCCAGAAGCCTAAGGAGCAGCCTTGTTAGCGGAGCAGATCACAGAGGAGCTGTCCTTGGGAGACAAGAGCCCCCTTTGTCTGTGAGTGACTGTCCTCCTGGAGGATGCTGAGAGGCATCCAGGGTGCCTTCGATGGGACGCACGTGCCTAGGTGTCCGGCGGCCCCAGGTCTCTGATCACGGCTCCCCGGCAGGATAGAGAATCTTCTAGCTTGAGGTCTGATAGCCTTTAGTGGACTTCTGCCATGAGGACTGGTGAGTCTGGGCAGCCAAACCAGGTTGTGGGGTCAGGGAGAAGGGGGTGAGCTCCTGGTCCTATGGTATCCTCAGAGAAGCTGATCAGCCTCTTCAAGCCTCTGCCTCCTGGTCTGTAAAGTCACAGCAATTAGACTTGTCTCAAAGGAGGAGTGTGGTAGTGACATGGCTTCATCTGAACATGCTCTTGTGGTGTCTCATTCTTGGTAGGTACTCAGGAGTTTCTTTTTTTCTTTTTCCTTCTTTCCTTCCTTCCTCTAGATTACCTGTCCCTCTGCCTCCCTCCCTCCATTCATGTCAGTAATGGAAGTTTGGCTGTGTTCTTAATATATCTTGCAATTCATTTTATATTTTGCAGCATTTTATTTTTAGGACAGTGTGTTGGTGACAGAGGACTTGTGACAAACACCTCTCTCTCCCACGTGATCATTTGTCCATTCATGTCCTTGGTCATTCAGTATTTCCCCTCAGTCTGTGCGAGGTTCCATTCCAGGTGCCAAGATACAAAGAAGCATGTATCAAAATGCCTTTAATTTTCACTGCCTGTGAAGTTTTTAGTATGCAAGGGGAAGAAGATAATTCCATGTGAGTTTAATTTTTGCTACTCGAGGGAACAAAATTCTGAGTTCTGTGGCAGGGATTCCTGTCCTGTGTGAGGCTTTGAGTGAGCCTGGAGCTCTTGGCTGTTCTCTGGCCGTTGGTCTGGATGTAGGGGTAGGGTTTGGCTGGGGGCAGCCCACCTGCTAGGGGTTGCTGCTTGTGACTGTAGGCAAGTCATTGTCCCCCCCCACTTACTTTGCTGGTCTGTCACATATGGATAATAGGACAAGCTCAGAGGGTTAAATGAGCTAATACTATATGCAGAAGGACACGGGGCTGACCTAGAAGTGGCAGTGATACTACCACTTCTGATGCTGGTCATTACTTCTGTGATGACTCTAGTCGAAACTTGAGCCAGTTCAGCATCCGGACCTGCAGGGGATGTGGGCAGGAAGAGGGCAGTGTCCTGGCTTCTAGAGGCTTGTGGCCCAAGAGCAGGAAAGACAAATGCCTTGTTCACCCTCATGCAGAACAAAAATGGAATAAAGACAAGCAGGTGCTGGGGGTTTTCAGAGGTGGGAGAGTTGGCAACAAAAGACTGAGTCCCTCCACATTTGGTGACAACTCTGTGCCCTCTAAGACTCCTGTCTCTTGCATCTCCATTTTTGTCAGTGGCCAACCTCCAAAATTGCAGGCCTTCTCCCCACCTGAGTTTGGTTGTTTCCCTACCTACCCTTTGGGATGTTGAATGAGCGAGTGGACTTCCAGGTAGGGACAATAGGAAAATCTTTCCAAAATTAGGAGCCGTTGGAAATGCGAACAACTGACGAAGGCGTGGAGAGCCAAGGGAAGGACTCAGCTCTTTGTACCTCCCCAGGCAGCTGTCTTGCTACCCTTTACTTGTCAGCTCTGCGAACAGAGAGGCTGGGAATTTTTCATCTTTTTTTTTTTTAAAAGATTTTATTTATTCATTTGAGAGGGAGAGTGAGCAAGAGAGCACAATCTGAGGGGGGAGAGGGAGAAGCAGACTCTCTACCAAGCAGGGATCCCCATGCGGGGCTCGATCCCAGGACTCCACGAACACGCCCAGAGCCAAAGATGGATGCCCAACTGACTGAACCACCCAGGTGCCCCACTTTTTCATTTTTTGATCCCTAGTGATGCTACTACATGATCTGGCACATAAACCAGGAAGGTTTTGTTAAGGAATTGAGAACTTAAAGCCAGTAGAGCGTCCCAAGCCTGCTATGCAGAGTAGTGCTGGGAAGGCTACTGTGCTGGGCCTAGTGTTGGGGCTGTGATGGTTGGATGTTCTTTCTAGAGGGAAGATCGAAGTCATAGTCCTGGGCCAAGACCACGTGCCTTCTCTCTGTCACTGGGTAAATCAGAGGTCTTTGGGTCGCACCCAGAGGCTAGGCTGGAGCTGCTCTGGGGCTGGAGTTGGGGCACAGCCAGCCAGTATGGAAGGGGAATCTACTCGGTGTAGGTATTATGTGAGGTATGGTGTGAGACATGTGGAACTGTCTCTTGTCCATGGACTTACTCTCCAGGAAGGCAGTGTGGCATAGTGGTTAAAATCTGGCCTCTGCTTTTAGGACTTCCTAGAATCCTTGGATAGCCACTTCCTCACTTGGAAGTGAGTCTTGGGCAGTTTTCTTTTCTACTCTGTGCCTCAGTTTTCATAGGTAAAGTAGTAATATGAACTGTAACTTCCTCATGGATTTTTGTTGAGGATTCAATTAAATGATACATGAGAAGCACCTTGGCCCAGTGCCTAGCACATAATAAGTGCTTAATAAATGTTAATTGTCACTGCTACTACTCTTAGCATCACTACAATCTGATTAGGGAAAATAAGGGATAGGAACGCGTAAAGAATAACTAATAATAACTAATACCCAGATGGTAGTTAAGTGCTAAGTTTTCAGTATTCAGTATTCAGTTTTCAGTATTCAGTATTTCCTGGAATGTGTCAGAATGTACTTGAACATAAGCTCCAGGAAGTTAATGACTTGTACTTGTTCTTATTCATTTACTACAATGGGGTCCCAGGCCCCATAAGTTTGCCTGGTGTATGGTGGCACCCAGGAAATATTCGTGGATTGAGTGCTTCTAAAGGTACTCTCTTTCCTGTCTTAGGACCTTTGCATGTGCTGTTCCCCCCTGCCTGGCATGCTCTTCCCTAAACTCTTCTCAGTAAGTTCCTTCTCACTCTTCAGGGCACTTTTAAAAAAGGCCTGACCACTGTCCCCCATCTTCCTCCTCATCAACTGAATTACATCAGTGTATTTCTATTTCTTACTCCTTGTCCTTTTTCTTATAAAATTTCATAATTCATCATTACTCATTTATTTGTATTTACTTAGCCAACCTCTGCCTCTTTCCCTGGATCATAGGCTCCAGAAGGGATGGGACTTAATCTGACACTTGGATCCTCAGACTTTCCATGGCGCCTGGCAGATGGCGGGCTTGGAGGAACTCTGGTTGAAGGAGTCGACTGAAAGTGTTCAGAGGAAGGAACACGGGCTGGAGTAGCTGAGACAAGGAGTGGGTCACTTAAGCCTCAGCTCATCTGTAAAGCTGCGATGAAGGCAAAGCTACGTCTTGTCATGACGCTCCTTAACCAGAGAGTGGTTGGGTTCGGAGACCGTTTTGTTGAAGGATGCTGTAGCTTGAAAAGCATGAGTTCACTGGTTCCCTCCTTTACTCATCAAGCCTTGATGCAGCTCCCGCTGTGTTCAGAGGCAGGAACACCCTGTCTTTGTCCCTTACCACAGCTGAACGGGGAGCTGCCCACAGCCAGGGCGTGAGTCTTTTGTCTCCCTCCTCCTTCTAGTGCCCGGAGGGAGCTCAGTATATGTTTGAGGCATGACCAAACCAGGAAAGGCACCATCGGGAGGTTGTGATGGAGAACTGGAATTTAGGAAGGATGCAGGTTTGAGGGGAGAGAGAGAGGCTGTGGTGGTGACTGAGAAGTGACTTAAGTGGGGCTTGTTTGTGTTCAGCTTTGTCCCATACCACGGTATATCCACAGAGGAAGGCATGGATACCTGTACTACTCTAGGGTGAAAGGCATGAGTTAGGCCAGATTCTTGCTGGGTGATCATTGTGATTTCCTGCCCTAATGGCGTTGCCTACTGTTGGTAATCAGGTGTAGCAAACACAGGCCTTGTCACTCAGTGTGGCCAGCCTAGAGTGTTGCTAACAGCCACCTGCATTCACTGCGCAGTTCTCCCTCCCGTCATCCCCTCGGACTGGCCCCGGCCCCCTAGGGAGGCTCCCAGAGCATTCTGGTTAGCTTTGTGCCTTTTCACTGGGGTGAATCATTAACATCACACTTCTGTCCCCTCCTGGGTTCCATGGCCAGCAGGTCAGGGCTCTTCCAAAGAAAGCTAGCTAATTATAGCCCTTGTCTAAACCAAATCCCACAAGAGGAGCAAAGCAGTGGCATATAAATGGAGCGGGGTGGGAGCCGGCACCCCGGCTCTGGAGGGTTTGTCTCCTCCCAGCCCCTCTGTCTCTCTCTGCTCGGCGTGGAATCAGCAGCCACCCTTGCCTGCTCGGTCGGCGTGTGAGGCTGCCGCGCTGTGCTAGGAAGACGACAGAACAAAGGGAAACAGGCCAGGAGGCTGGGTGCCGGATGAAGAGAGGTCTCCGGGGTGAGAAGCGCTTGTCGCCAAGCGGCAAAGAGTTGGTGGCTGAATCCTGGCCACGTCTCGGTCTGCTCACGTTTCTCCTCTGTGGGGCTCTGTCCCCCCTTTTCCCCAGCCCCGCCTACTTCTTACTCCCTTCTAGGACATATATTCTGTACTTTCCTTGAGCCAAAAAAAAAAAAAAAAAAAAAAAAATCAGGCTTTCTAGCAAGATAACCAGACTGTAAAGGCCCAGACATTTTCTAGTCGTCGTCTGTCGTGGTGCTGGTGTTCTCGCTGCGGGCTGAGGGGCTCCCGGCCTGGGATTCTGGAAGGACTCATTCAGCGTCTCATCCACAGACTGACGCTGAGAAGCATTCCCAGGTGGAGAGGGGGTCCCTGTGGTCGGGCGATGACGTCAAGAAGTCCGACGGAGGCTCAGACAGCGGCATAAAGATGGAACCCGGGTCCAAGTGGAGGCGGAATCCCTCGGACGTGTCTGACGAATCTGACAAAAGCACTTCGGGCAAGAAGAGTTCGGTCATCTCGCAGATGGGCTCGTGGCGCCGAGGCATGACCGCGCAGGTGGGCATCACCATGCCGAGGACGAAGGCAGCTGCCCCAGCGGGCACACTCAAGACCCCCGGAACCGGTGAGTGAGGGGCTGTGCTGTCTCATATCTGCCTTTATCGGTCTGAAAACCAAAACCCGCAGACACTCAAGCAAGAGCTTCAGTCCCCATCAAGGGCAGCTGTTTCTTCTTTGAGTTTAGATCTGCCAGTGACTAGCTTTCGGGAAAGTTCGCCTCCCTGCATTTTCCCACGTGGAAAGAGGTCCGTGTGTAAGCCTCAAGCTCGGCAGGGGCTTCAGCAGCCGAAGGGGACGGAGTGGGCTTAACCAGGTGCTAGGGAAGAGCCCACACACCCGTGTGCAGGCTTTTCAAGGGCGTGAGTTTACGAGCTGCCTTTAGGTCAGGTTCACGTTGCCCGTGATTTAGGGACATGTGTAAACAGTAGTGTGTTTGCAGGAAGGCAGAGATGCCCCCTGAAAATGTTAAGGAGAGCCTTTGAATAGCCAGAAAAGGAAGAAAGGTCAGTAGAAGGCAGGATCTCTTGCCCAGACGTACCAGCGATTGGCCGGCTTTGCTTTGTTCTGGGTAAATGTAGGCTGGTTTGCAAATGAGGAGAGTCACTGACATCTCCTAGAGGGCTCTCGGCCACAGTAGTGGGTAGATTATCTTTCTAAAAAGCTCTTTCCTTTGCCGCTCTGCTTTCTCCAAGGCTACTGCTTTCCCCAAGGAAAAAGTGAACCAGTTCTTTGGCGGAGGGGATGATCGTAAGCAGATGGGTTCTTGGTGTGCACACTAACCTTGCTGCTTTCTCCCTTAGGAAAAACAGATGATGCAAAGGTGTCTGAGAAAGGAAGGCTGTCTCCCAAAGCTTCCCAGGTGAAGCGGTCCCCGTCAGACGCAGGCCGCAGCAGTGGCGACGAGTCCAAAAAGCCCCTCTCCAGCAGTTCCAGGACCCCCACTGCCAATGCCAACAGTTTTGGATTCAAGAAGCAGAGTGGTTCGGCCGCTGGGCTGGCCATGATCACAGCCAGTGGGGCTACGGTCACCAGCAGGTCAGCCACACTGGGCAAGATCCCCAAGTCGTCTGCACTCGTCGGCCGGTCCACCGGCCGGAAGACGAGCATGGACGGGCCTCAGAACCAGGATGATGGGTATCTGGCTCTCAGCTCCCGGACCAACTTGCAATACCGGAGTTTGCCAAGGCCCAGTAAGTCCACCAGCCGCAACGGGGCTGGGAACAGGTCTAGCACCAGCAGCATCGATTCCAACATCAGCAGTAAGTCTGCGGGCCTGCCGGTGCCCAAGCTGAGGGAGCCTTCCAAAACGGCCCTGGGCAGCTCTCTGCCGGGCCTGGTCAACCAAACCGATAAGGAGAAAGGCATCTCATCTGACAACGAGAGCGTGGCTTCCTGTAACTCGGTGAAAGTGAACCCAGCCACCCAGCCCGTGTCCAGTGCAGCGCAGGTGACCCTCCAGCCGGGAGCCAAGTACCCCGACGTGGCCTCTCCCACACTCCGCAGGTAAGCAGGTCGGTGGTGCTGAGCAGCACTGGAGTCTGTGGAATGGCATCCTGAGCGAATCATTTTTTGTTCCTTGGTGAAAACAGCTTGTTTCTCCACGTCTGTCTAGTCAGAACCTGCCAGCAGTTTTGTACTCAGCTGATTATTTTCCCATGTGGGGAGGAAAACACCCAAGTGTCTGAATCTGTCATCCTGGGGTCAAATCCTGAGTCCACTTTCATCAGACACCGTGGGTCCCTTTTTTACAGTTTTGTTTCAGTTTCCTCATCTGTAAAATGGGAACGCCTACCTGAGATTGCATGTGAAATTTTTTTTTTTTTTTTTTTTTTAAGATTTTGTTTATTTGTCGGAGAGAGAGAGCGAGAGCGAGCACAGGCAGACAGAGTGGCGGGCAGAGTCAGAGGGAGAAGCAGGCTCCCTGCCAAGCAAGGAGCCCGATGTGGGACTCGATCCCAGGACACTGGGATCATGACCAGAGACGAAGGCAGCGGCTTAACCAACTGAGCCACCCAGGCGTCCCAGATTGCATGTGAATATTAACCTATGTAGCCATATCTGGCCCATTGTAGGTGCTCAGTCAGAGCTAGCTACCATCCAAGATGAGATCTTAATACACCCCTAGACCCCAGGTGGACATATGAGGAGAAGGCAAAGGATCTTTTTTCCACCCTTGTCTTATTAATTCTGTGGCTGAGATTCTACAACATTATGCCAGACCGTGAGCTCAGCCAGATCCTTCTCTCAGCTAGCCCAGTATCCTCCCCCCTCCACCACACACATACTTTTTTATACTGCATGCTTAATTCCAAATTTGTTTCTGAAATTCTAGCTTTCTTAAAATAAAAAAAAAAGACAAAAAAGCCTTTTAAAGCGGAAGTGTTTCTGAAAAAGAGAAATTGATTTCTTATTCCCTTAAAAAGGCATTTTCCCGCATTTCCACACTGAATGGAAATTTTTATGTGAAAATAGTGGTTTTTTTTAAGCAGTTCCTTTTTAAATGTGTACAGCTTTTGCTTGCTCATATCATCTCATCCTCCTCTCTGCTGAACTGTCCTCAAACTGTTAACGGCATAGGACAGGGCTAATCTTACCTTCCCAGGAAATGGCTTATCCTAGGAAAGAGTCTAAGTCCTGGATAGAAAATTAAGTAGTGAAAAATAAAAACTATGTGCACATATTTGGGGGTGAATAGGAATTTTTGAGAAGACTTCAGAAGAAGCCTGCCACATGAAAAGTGTGATGAAGCAGTTCACTGTTCTTTGTCTAGACTTGATTATTAGAATTTCAGTAATGATTGTTTTTTTCAGGGGAAGGTCCTATTGGGCTGCTCTTTGTTGTTCTAACAGATTGCCTTGTAAATGAAAATATCCTCTACTTCTTGCCTCAAGTAGTATATGTAATACTCACTCTTTGGTCTTATAGATTTCCTTTAGTAACTACAAAGGTATTTTACTGGACCCTTAGGCTACTGTTACAGAGTACTTGAAAATGCATGCAGATTCTTAGGCTCGACACTGAACAACTTTCAGCCAAATCCTGTTAATTACATTTTTCCTAAATCATTAGGAGGTGTTCTCAATTTCTTCTTTGTGCCTTAGTGCAGAGAAGAGAAATCTTAGATCCAGTGATCGCGCTCTTCAAATGACGGGAGGGACCAGCAGACAAAAGCCTGGGCTTTTTCTGCGTAGTTACATGGAGGAGAATTAGGGGCAACAAGCAACAAAGAAGATGCATAGGATTTTGGTTTTCTAGTGATTGAAAGGGCTTGACAGTGGAGTGAGTTACCCTTAGAAGTAGGGAGCTTCCTGTTACTGGAAGTATGTAAGCACGCCAAAGCCAAGATTCTACCAGAGGATATCTCATTCTTTGGTTGTCATCAGGCAAAAAAGTATTTTCTTTCTTTTTTTTTTGAATAAAGATTTTATTTATTTATTTGACAGAGGGAGAGAGATCACAAGTAGGCAGAGAGGCAGGCAGAGAGAGAGAAAGGGGGAAGCAGGCTCCCTGCTGAGCAGAGAGCCCAATGCGGGGCTCGATCCCAGGACCCTGTGATCATGATCTGAGCCAAAGGCAGACGCTTAACCCACTGCACCACCCAGGTGCCCCAAAAAAGTATTTTCTAATCTGTTACCAGATATCGTAGTGAGGATTAGTTATGTGTGCGTATGTTTGTTTTTACAATAATTGGGATTTGTAAGGACTCCTGGGAGAGAACAAAGATGAGACTCCTACCACGGAGTAGCTGGGTGCAAGGCAACCTGCCTCTCAAGATAGGTCGTGGTTTTGTCCCTCCAGAGATGCACATTCCAGCAGGGTTTGGTGGATGGAATGACTTGCATTGCTAGAGCATGTCCCCATCCTTGGACTTTAACACTGTTCTGTCATTCTTCACAGAGAGTCCTGTTGCCAAATGAAGAGAGAGACCCATGGGCCATTCCCTGTTTTGCTGACAACACATTTCCGGTCATCAGTGGGGGGATGACATGGAATGACATTTCTGTCCCCAAGACCCAGTGCATCTGCTCTTACATCTCATGCCCCGGCAAGATTTCTGTGTAGATCCTTGGGTAGGACTAGCCTCCCATCTTACAGATGGGCCATCACTTGAAGAGAAATCCGGGAAGATACTTTTCCCAGGCTCCCCCCCAATCCAGATCTAGACTCGTCTTCCTGATCAGTTCATGTCATTCTTAAAGACCAAACAACTGAAACCTTTGGAACTGAACTGAGTACCTGCTTTGTGCCTGGGGTCTCAGATACAAAGATGATTAAGATAGATCTTTTCCTCTAGATGTTTTGGGGCTGGGGCAATTTTCTAGTTACCCTATTTATGGAAATGAAGGGAAGCAAGATCTGGGACCACCATGGCTAGGCTTATTGAAAATTATCCCATGTGGCCCTAAGGGTCTCAGCTACAGCCTCGAACTTAAAGCTGGAGCCTTGGGAGACACTGGTGTCTGGGCCCCTGCATGGCGTCCTTTCCCAGCAGAGCGCCATTAGCCATTTCAGTAGCAATGACTGTGCCCCTCCCCAGGATTTTTAGCGCTCCTGTACTTGTGCCCCACCGTTAACAGCTCGGCACCCCTTGTTGCTGGCTGTTCAACCTGCACAACCCTTTGTCTCTTCACAGACTCTTTGGTGGGAAGCCTACCAAGCAAGTGCCCATTGCCACAGCAGACACCATGAAAAACTCAGTGGTGATCTCCAATCCTCATGCCACCTCGGCCCAGCAAGGTAACTTAGAGTCCCCCTCGGGCAGTGGCGTCCTGAGCAGCGGAAGCAGCAGTCCTCTCTACAGCAAGAATCTGGATATCAACCAGTCTCCTCTAGCCTCCAGCCCCAGCTCAGCCCACTCAGGCCCTTCCAATAGCCTCACCTGGGGCACCAATGCCAGCAGCTCGTCCGCGCTCAGCAAGGATGGCCTGGGCTTCCAGTCTGTCAGCAGCCTTCACACCAGCTGCGAGTCCATTGACATCTCCCTCAGCAGCGGAGGGGGGCTGAGTCACAATTCCTCCACGGGCCTCATCACCTCCTCTAAGGACGACTCCCTGACTCCCTTCGTCAGAACCAACAGCGTGAAGACCACGCTGTCGGAGAGGTTGGTGCCGTGCGCCTATATCTCTCGGAGAGACCCTCCCGCAAGTCAAAGGGTTTATGTTAGGAATCCCAAATGTTCGTTCCCCTTTGCCTGGGAGAGTGCGCTCTTTCTAACCACTGCTGTCTTTTCCATGGGGAAGCCAGGCTGGGATGGAATTACATTTCTGTTACCTTTTCCATCGCGGTTATTCTCCGTGCTTGGAGCTGCTGGCGGCGGCGGAGGGAGGGCTGCAGATTTAATGCTCCCGTTGGAAATGGCATTCCTCCTTGGAGGTCCTTCCATTTTATCCTGTTCATTCATCAGCTGCTCGTCCCCCCCACCCTTGTCATTGTGAAGGCAGAGCAGGTGGCAGGAGACGTTTCTAGGCAGTGGGGTGGACTTGGTGGGTGTCACGACAGGCACCCTCCTATTAAAGGGCTACCAGCCAGAGTGATCGAGACACTCAAAGCAGCCTCAGAGCCCTGGATTTCACCACAGCGTGCTGTGTGTCTTGTTCTCCATGTAGGCCAGAACGCCGGGATGCGTGTTGGGAATGAGAAAAAAAAATGTTCTAATCATTGTGTGTGTCCGACCCCTCCCTTTTCTTCCCATCTAATGTTCCTTCTCTTATTTTCTACCTGCCTGGACTTCTAGCCCTCTCTCTTCCCCTGCTGCTAGCCCTAAGTTCTGCAGAAGTACTCTGCCCAGGAAGCAGGACAGGTAATGACATTGTAGGCCTGGGAGCCCACCAAGCCTCCAGGTTCCTCTGCCCATCCGTGTCAAGCCAGACGTCTTGTGTGAGGCTGTTGGCCTGAGGCTGCCGCTTGTGTTCGTGGCTCTGCTGTACGCTGTGACCCCAGACATGCCAGAGAGGGTCTGCTCCACTGTCCACCCCAGCCCTAGATGCGGTGGAGTTGGGCCAGCCCGTCCCTCCCCAGCTTGGGAAGGAAGCTCAACCGCTTGAACTGGGGCAGCAGACACCCTCCCTTGCATCTCTGCCCTCCTGTGGCATGCTCCTGCTTCCCAGCTCCCTACCCTTTCTTCCCTCTCTCTCCCCTCCCCCTCCCAGCCCAGAAATGATCTCCCACCCACTGTGCAGCGGGGCCCTCACCTTTGTCTCCCCTGCCCCTACTCCCCACGCAGCTGGCTCCCTTCCCTTCCAGAAAATCCTTTCCTGCTGTTTGGCTGGTGCGTCTCGCAGGCTGTTGTGTTCTGTGTGCCCATTTCCTGGAATGATTGTGAAAAAGAGGACATGGAGGGGTGAGGCTCTGTGAACTTAGAGGCTCGCTTGCCCCTAGCTGCCCTGTGGGTGGGCCTCAGAGATGGATACTGACCTCCAGTTTGTTGGGGAGCCTCAGCTTGGCCAAATACAACAACCAGATGTTGTTTTGTGCTAGGAAAAAATAATTAATGAAAATCCCCTTCACCCCGTCCGTGGCAAAAACTTTGTTTTTGTCAGACTCACAGACCAAGCCTTTAAAACCTTGTTCTTTGGAAATCCAAATGCCTTGACTTTATCAGCAGGCAAGTTGAAACCTGCCCGCACAGGGGTGCTCACCAAGCTACACCAAACTAAGAGGGACGGGGAATTCATGTTGTTCCAGGTGAATTCCAAATATGCAGACTGCTGGCCTCTTGACACCCTCCCGCAAGTCCCTTCTCTCACATGGAGTCATCGTCAATGGCATTTGGGGAGGGTCAGATGCAGGGGTGCTGGCATCTCTCTCTCCAAGAAGCAGGGGTGCTGGTGCAAGCCTGGGTGACTGGGCAGCAGCAGGTGTGGGCTCTGCTTCAACCTGGGGCAGCCCCTGAGTTTTGCTTTGCATCTGTGACAAAAGAGGAAGTTTGGGGTCCAGTGGATGTCTCGGGCCTCCTGGTGCCTTGGGGTGTGCGCTGGGGTCGGTCAGGCCCCGGATCAGGTGTCTCTTGTTTTCCGTGGATGTGGATGTCTTGCATGTGCAGCTGGATAGAAGGGAGCACTCCCTGGTGCCGTGAGTCTCTTGCTCCAGATCTCCGGCCCCTCCTTAGCCTCTCCCTCCTTCCCTTGCCTGCTTTCCCTGTGCTTCTCTGAAGTTCTCATTTTTGTTTTAACTTCCCTACAGTGACCCGCACCTTGATAGGAACACTTTGCCTAAAAAAGGACTCAGGTATCTGCGCTTCCTCCTTCCGTCCGTACCATCTGGTGTGGCTTTGGGGCTTGGCTGCGTGACCCTCATGGCTGGGGGAGGGGTGAGGGCTGGGCTGGGGTGGGGTCCCCGCTTTGGCCACCGCAGCAGGACTTCTGAAACAGGGGCTCCCCTGGCACCCTCTCATTCTCATCGCTCCATCTGTTGGCTTTTTTGCTTGGGCAGAGGCTGTGCTTTTTCAGGCTTATTATGGCGAAAGCCATCTCATGAAGAATACCCCTTGGCAAACCCAGAGAGCAGAGACTGCCTGTCCTGGGACCACGGGGTTCCAGCAGTGAGCTCTTCACCCTGACCATTCTGTTCACAGCTGTCTTCCAAAAGAAAGAACGTGACTTAGGGCACGTTGGTTAGCCAGGACATGGCAAAGAAGAGAAATAAATCTCCCTAAGTTGGAAAAGATTCAACTTTAGGGGCCATCGAAAATTACTAAAGACAGGCGCTTTGTCTTTCCTATAAGTATCTCATTGAAAATTGTGTCGGTTTTCAATGCCCAACAAGACAACGGGTATGATGATTGGCTTTGGTATAAAGAAAAGACTACCGGGAAGGAATGTCCTTCCATTTATCGTTAAGTCGTGGCTCATTTTTGGTGCAAGTCCTGGTTAAGCAAGATGCCATAAGTCATCGTTGCTCACGCCATCTCCTTCCCTTTTGCCAACCAGAGGGACTAACGCCTGCCCCATGGTCCTACTGTATGACGGTTGCTGCTGTCATTTCCCCTGCTCTTTAAACACCTCGTTCTTCATAGCATTTGCTTCACACTGCACTAGGCATTAAGTGCTTTCGCAAAAAAAAAAAAAAGGGAACTCGGAATGAAATGTTTCATTGCTGTCATGTATGTCTGTGGTTAATAACCTGCAGCTCTTAAGGCTGAGAGCATTTTGAGCAATAATGTGAGGTAGGTATCAATGCTGCCTTTCAGTAGGGACTCGGGGAAAGCCAATTCTGAGAATCTAAGAATAAGAGTATTGAAAATGCCCCAACAGTCGTCCTACGGGAGGAAGTTCAGCACTGTGGCCATAGAGGGAGGGGTTGGCAAAGGCCTTTTGTGCTTCACGGTTTTCTTCTTGCCTCTGAGGGCTTCAGACTAATAATACTCAGTTCATGGCCACTCCCAAGATGAGTTTGACATTGAGGCCCTACTCTTGCCTCCAAAGTGTAATTATCTAGGAAGCTAATCCCTCTAAAGAATAACATTTTTAAATTATATGTATGTATGTATATATATATATATATTTTTCCCCCCAGTGGATCTGTTCTATCAAAATGGTGTAGCTTTAATTTTTTTTTTAAGATTTTTATTTATTTGACACAGAGAGAAAAATCACAGGTAGGCAGAGAGGCAGGCAGAGAGAAGGGGAAGCAGGCTCCCTGCTGAGCAGAGAGCCCGACACGGGGCTCAATCCCAGGAACCTGAGATCATGACCTGAGCCAAAGGCAGAGGCTTTAACCCACTGAGCCACCCAGGTGCCCCTAAATTGTTTTTTTTTAATTTCAGAATAGAGATACGTGCTAGGCTATCTTCATGCAATTGATGGGACCCAGAAAATTGTATGTCCATCACCTACAGCAGATACACTCTGCCTGTCCCTCCTAGCTCCTCCCACCCCACACATTCACGCACAATGCCAAGATACCAGCAGCTCTTCTTCTCGAGTCCAGAGAATCCCTCTGGTTCCATAATTAGTAGTCACCCCACAGTAATCTGTGTGTAAGTCCAGAGGTACTCTGGCCACGGGGCACTTCAGAAATTTGAGATGCTGCCTGTGGGCATGATGAGAAGAGCATGGATTTTGGAATCAGATGTAAAATGGGTGAAATGTCACCAAGTGATATGAGGCAGGCCCTCCCCTCCATGCAGTGTAAAATGGGGATAGTAGACTCTGCATGGCCAGGTGGGTGGGAGGTGTTGTCGAGATGCCTGTGCAGGCACCCGGCACAAAGGGGACCTTGAATACACCATTGCCAGACCTTTTATGTAATAAGTGAGGAGATGGGTCCCGTGACGTCTGTGGCACCCAGTGATTTGGGGTTCCTGTTACGGAGACTTACCGAGGCTTCGTTGCAGCGAACACAGTGGCAATGTCGTCACGCCTTCTGTCGCGTCTGGTTTCTGATTCGCTGGGACTCGCGGCCACTTACATGTGCCCGAGAATGCGGCTGCCATGAGCTATTGAATTAAAACTCCCTCGAAGCTCTGACAGCAACTCCTTCTGCTGCTCCGGCCCCATCAAGGTGGGGGCTTTGAAATGACACTATCATGAATCAACATGTTACAGATACGCCCAGGGACGGCTCCTTTGAGCATTTACCGATCTTGCTCCCTTTATCCTCTGCACTAAAAAGAATTGGAGTTTTCCCCAAAGGCAGCCAAGTAGTAAAAAAGGTTTGGAGAAACTTCATAAGTTTCAGGATATGTACTGATGTGATTTTTTTTTTTTTTTAAACATCATCTTTGGCTCTTTTTTTTTTTTTTTTTCATCTATTTATCATCAGCTCCCCGGAGTTCACGTTCATAAGTGTTGTTCACAGTTGATCCCAGCATAATTTCTGTCTATCCAGGTATACTCCCACCTCCCAGCTTCGCACCCAAGAAGACGCAAAAGAATGGTTACGGTCCCACTCTGCAGGAGGCCTGCAGGACCCCGCTGCCAATTCCCCTTTCTCCTCTGGCTCCAGCGTCACATCTCCCTCGGGAACGAGATTCAACTTCTCCCAGCTTGGTGAGTAGCCACTGACAGTTAGCTGTGGGAATCAGCCCTGGGGGGCAGAGGTTAATCTAGTATTTTGAAAGCGGCCTGTGGTCATCGCCAAGTGGTCAAGCCCTCCATGTTGATGAGCCTTTAGCAATGGAACTTGATTATAGGGAAGTAATAGCAAAAGAGAGAGAAGAGAAAAGGTTTGGGTACTCTTATCAGTAATTTATTTATGTGGTTGGTGTAGGTAGGGTTATAGTAAAGAGCAAACCATTCTACTTTTGAGAAGAATGTATTGTTTCTAAGACTTCTAAAGATGTAGGTTTATATCTATAAAGTTGTAGCATACCCCGTGTCTGGTCCTCTGCATGGCTCTATTAAGCTGGAAAATAAAGATCCGGTTTTGAGTGAACACGTATTCTTGGAAATGCCTACTACTGACATAATGCTTTGACTGGCACAGTGGGGAAAGGAAACGAATTTGTAAGACAGCCCCTGCTGACATGTTAATGGATTCTTTTTCAGAGAGACAAACACACCCACACAGACTCGTAATCAGGATAAGAGAACAATCCAAAGCTTTATATGAAACTGTGTAAAAACCAACAATGATCAGGTAGCAGGTATTATATATAGTTAGGAAAAGGGAAGATCCGTCCTGGCTAGAATTACCAGGAAGAATGGGAGCTGAGCCCTAAAAGACTGATGGAGGGAAAATCCTGCCCACTCTCATCTTGCTCTTTAGAAGGGAGGCCTTTTCTGATTATTGTGAATAATAAACACGGCTTCTTTAAGAACAGATGTGGCTTATCATCAAGTAAGGCTTCACTTTTCCTTTTTAATTAACAGATAGATACTTTGGAAATACTGTATGTTATTGACATGGACAGGACTTTAATAAAAAAAAGCCTGTTCGGGCCAAGGTGGAGGGGAGGTGCCCCTTTGCCCTGAAGCTCTTTAGGCGCCATTACAAGCATGCCCCATTGGAGGCAGTGAGACCTGTGTTCATGTTGTTCTCTCCCAGCCATAACTCTTTGAGGCAGGAGTTTCTTGTCATGCACAAATGCTTCCCATCTGATCAAAAGCCCGGTTGGACTATTTTGGGCTTTGGCTTTAGAGGGAGTTGATCCAGATGAGCCCAGGGAGTAATTAGCTCATGCCTGGAAGGTGACACTGGCTTGTCGGAACGTGCCAAGTTGGAAAGCTGAGGCCCAGAGACTTGCTTTGGAAATGACCCACCTTTCCTCCCTTATTTTTAGCTCTCCGTGTTTTATTTAAATGTGGATGTGATAGCCTTCTAGAAACCAGACTAGGGAGGGAAGTTGGCAGGGACAGATATGGCTGATACTAATCCGTCCCCTCGTCATCCGCATCTAGGATTTGAAGAGAGACATGAATTTCCCACCTTTCAGTCCCCTTCCTTTCTTTTCCAGCGAGTCCCACCACCGTTACCCAGATGAGCTTGTCCAACCCAACCATGCTGAGGACCCACAGCCTCTCCAATGCCGATGGGCAGTATGACCCGTACACTGATAGCAGATTCCGGAATAGCTCCGTGTCCCTGGACGAGAAGAGCAGAACCATGAGCCGCTCGGGCTCCTTCCGGGATGGATTTGAAGAAGGCAAGCAAGGAGGGTTACCGTCTCAGGTCCTGCGTTGGGGTGAATGGCCCTCCGTACCACATTTGCAAGCTGAGAGCCCACCTGGAAGTGCTCCCAGCTCTCTCTCTCACTCTGGGGGTTGGGACTGGGGAACTCTGAGTAGCGGGGTCTGGTTGTTCATTCACCTCATGGGGGGAAGAGGCTGCTGAAGAAACTCGAGTGAACTTGGAGTGGACCATGTTCTACTCTAGGCTTCTCCCTCTTGGACTCAGGCCACAACTTCTTGGCATGAGCCTCCATCTTGAGGTTCAGCTGCCGGCTCACTGTCTTGGCAGACTGAGTTTCTGGAGAGTTAGTTCATTTCCTTGGGCTAACGTACCCGTGTAGCTCCAGGGGCCTGCGGGCAGCCGGCCTCTCTACTCCACTCCAGAATTTTCTATTTCTCAAGCACCAGGTTTTTTTTAACTTTATTCAGTGACACCCTTTTCCTTCAGGTATGCCCTTTTCCTTCTTTTCTCATTAACAGAATATTTGGGGTCGGATTTTTATGTTTTGTTCATTTTAATCAGAATGTTGGGAGAAAGTAGCTGTGGGCATTGTTGCCAGCGTCTTCCTAACTTGGTTCATCTCTCTTTCCCTTTGTTCCTTCAGCTCAGGGTGGGAGCTAGAGAAGCAAGCAGTCAAAACCCTGTGGAGGGACAGCCCCACCCCTGAAAAGCTTCCCGAAGATGGGAATGATAGGACATTGGAGTCAGTACTCATTGACTAATAGTTAAAACTATGGAGTAACACTACCAGGGTTTTTGTTCCGGCTCCCCCGCTTCTTTAGTAGATGATCCAAGAGGACAAGTTACTTAACCTCCCTGTGCCTCTGGTTTGTTTTTTTTGTTTTTTTGTTTTTTTGTTTTTTTTTACTGACAAAATGAGAATGTAATAGTACCCAGCTCATGGAATTATGAGAATTCAATGGTAGATATAAACGTTCACCCGGTAATGTCATTACATGTCCTAGCCTGTAGACTCAGCGTCAGCAGTGAGGTCCTGGCAGCTGGGACTCCCCAGCCAGAGGCTCGGGACTCTCAGAGCAATTGGAGCCCAGGCTATGGCCGTAGCCCTTGTTGTGCCTTTTTTGCCAGTGACAGACGAGAATGCGGGAGAATGTCGAGGGGGTCATGGGTGCTTCACTCTGGCCCCAGCCCCTGTGAGAGTGGGAAAATAGTATCACAGCCACCTCCTGGGAGGAGAGAACAAACTTGTCTTGTTTTATTTTTGTTTTTTTAAAGACTTTATTTATTTGAGAGAGAGAGCACAAGCAGGGGGAATGGCAGGCAGGGGGAGAAGTAGGCTCCCCACTGAGCAGAGAGCCCTGTGCGGGACTCAGTCCTGGGACTTGAGAATCATGACCTGAGCTGAAGGCAGATGCTTAACTGACTGAGCCACCCAGGTGCCCCTGAACTTGTCTTGTTTAAAGAAATCCCTAAACAAACTGAGAGGGAAAGAAACAGAATAAAGTCTTCCACTATTGCCCAGTGTACTTGCTTAGAGAAAGAGTAAAGGGTTTAGTTACAGGGCACTTGCCCTCTGGTCCATCTTCCTAGCAACGTCCCTCCCTTCACCCTGATTTACGTGTCCCCTGCACCCGGTGAGCACAGTGAGCAAGTCTGCAAATCCACGTATGGGTACCTGCTAGGACAGAGGATCGAGGAGGGGTAGAGCAGGAGTTACCCAGAGTGTTCGGCTGGATTTAAGAGCTAGAAGTGCGTGCTTTAACCACCTGGGTCCCTCAGAGCAACGCGCAGGTTACCCGAAGGTAAAGGCATAGGCAGCTGGTCTCGAACTTTTTCCTAGTCCGTGTGCCAGCCAACCATGGCCGCAGAGCACTCCCCAGCCCGCCTCGTGACGACTCACATATGGAACACGTCCTGGGTCACACTCATCTTCTGTGTCGTGTGTGTGCCTGAGTCAACCGTGTTCAGGACCGAGATTTGTCCAAACAAGCACACTTCGCCTCATAAAGATGCGGGACCATTACAGTCTCATCGTCAGAGAACTTTCCTTTATTCCATCTGGAATCAAGCTGTCAGGCAGCACCACCGTGGGATATCTGGGATGTCAAAGTGACATTGATAAAAAATGCTTGCCCACAAGAAGTGTCTAGACTTTTGTAAACCCTAATGATTCATGGTGACGTGGACTGAAGGGCAGAGGTAAAAATCAGGTTTGGCGGGTAGGGGGTAGGGACTGCTGTCGATATACACGATGAGCGCATACCATTTTCATCTTTTGGGGAATTTTGCATCGAATTGCTTTTACTTCTTCCAGGGCTATTGCATTACAAAGACAAGACAGAGCTCATGCAGTTAGATGCTTTTCATTCCATTGGGTGAAAGCTGTTCTTCCCATTTTGAATTTATAAATCCCAGAGTTGGAGAAACGGGGAAAATTTTACAACTCATGTTTGGACAAGACAGAACCTCTGTGTGAGAGTCAGTTAGGTACGTCATATACCAGAAAGCAGGAGAGAAATTGAAGAATTAGCACAAAGACGTGGGGGAGGTTTCTGTGGGATTTAATTAGCACTTTCCATTTTGAAGGAAGTGGGAGTCATAAATATGTAGATTAGGTACAGCCATGGCCCAGATGCAACCTTTCAAAGTTATTTCAGGTAAATTAATTTCCATCAGATGCATTATGCAATCTTAAAGTCAACTTTAATAGCGTACATTTAGGGAGATGCTTGAGGCATTTTGAAAATGGATGTCTTTGCCCGGGGACTTTACCAGTCATCCCTAATTGCTAGTGCAATCTTAAGCAGTTCATATGGAATCCATAGGAACAGAGCAGCTTCTTAATAAATAAATATATTTTTTTTGCAACTCACTTGGGTTTCTAGCACCTGAGTTGTACCTGTGATTGAAATCCTGGCACGTCTGCTGCTAGACTTGGGGAAAGGACTTGACACTGCTCAGCCTATTTCCTGTTCACTAAAAGGTAGAAAATAATTGTGCCTGCTTCAGAGGATTGAAGTGAAGATTAGGTGAGATAAATCCACAGAAAGCATCTCATGCAAAATGACTTCCAAAGAGGTTTATAGTCAGTGTTCAAGCAGTGGTAGCCATTGTAATTGTCAGGTTTTGTTTTCTCTTTCTCCCCAAGGGCCATTATCCCTGTTTTATTTATGGCAAAGTTGAGGCCAGAGAAATGCCTTGGGGACTGTGTGCAGCCAGGACTCGGTGCCAAACTCTAGATTTTCAGCCCTCTGTTTTCCTGTTCAGTCCTACCTTGACATCTGACTCTGTCTAGGTCACAGCTGGGCTTTCTTACCTCTGTGAGGCGGACTGGTCCTTCATCAGCGTGTTTTCTGTTTTCAGTTCTGCTTCCTTTGCTGGTTCAGAGGGTGGTCCACCAGCCATCAGAACCGGGCATCCTTCTCACTGGTAGCACCTCTGAGAGTATCAGCAGTGGTGTGAGAACTAGGCTATATGCCTCCAAGCCTGTCTCTGCTCCTAACAGGCTGTGTGTTCTTGGCCATATCACTTAGCCTCTCTGGGTCTTAATTTATTCTGTTGTGTGTTAGTAGTGGGAACTCCTGCCCTGTCTGGGACTATCACCTACAAATTCTCACTTCCAACAGTAGTACACTTGAGAAAATGCTTTGATAAGTACGAAGCTGGAGATACATGCAAGATGCATCGAGGCCTTTGGGATGCCCAGTTGTTTCATTCTGTCTAGAGCATGTACCTATCACCACCTGTACCTTGGGCAGGGGTGAATCGTGTTTTTCTCAAACATGCAGTTGTTTGCTCATTTGGTGCCAGCTTTGTGTCTGTGTAGATTCGATGAGTGGCTGGGGAAACCATTCTAAAACAAACCAAAAGGCTTTACCAAAAAAAACAAAAAATGAAAACAAAAACAAAAAACAACCATCAGAAACTCCTAAATCAGGTCTCTCACTTTTTTTTTTTTTAAAGATTTTATTTATTTATTTGACACAGAGAGATCACAAGTAGGCAGAGTGGCAGGCAGAGAGAGAGGAGGAAGCAGACTCCCTGCTGAGCAGAGAGCCTGATGTGGGGCTCAATCCCAGGACCCCGAGATCATGATCTGAGCCGAAGGCAGAGGCTTACCCCTCTGAGCCACCCAGGTGCCCCCAAATCAGGTCTCTTAAGGGCAAAACAGTCTCCATACTTCTGGTCAGCAGATCCTGTTCCTGAATGCTGGGTGACCTTAAGCAGACCAGTTAACCTTTCTGGGTTTCGGATTCCTCAGGTGCAGAGATGGCCTAGACAAGTCTCTGTGGTTCTTCATAGCTTCAGAATTTTGTTTTATTTTATTTATTTATTTAGAAAGATTTTTATTTATTTATTTGACAGACAGAGATCACAAGCAGACAGAGAAAGAGGAAGGGAAACAGGTTCCCCGCTGAGCAGAGAGCCCGAGTGGGACTCGATCCCAGGATCCTAGGATCATGACCTGAGCCGAACGCAGAGGCTTTAAGCCACTGAGCCACCCAGGCGCCCAACATAGCTTCAGAATTTTAAAGATATAGGTATAGGGCAGAAAATGCATGGTGTGATTTTGCCATTCTGGCTTTGTAAGTCTTCTGTGCCTTTTGCTGTCCAGAAGTATCCAAGACACATAACCCAGGCTCTGATTTGGTTCAGCTCACTTGGAGTAAGGCCCACTGCAATGGTTCAGGCAAGCCACATTCAGTTTGGAGCTGACTCTGGAAATCAAGGAGTCTTTCTTTGGACCACGGCCTTGCTGTTGCTATTTACCTAGTGAGAGGAGTTAATTACAGGGAAGAAGAATTACCTCCATAGGAGCCTGCCAGTTGCGCTCTTTACCGGCGGCCCCAGGCCTGCACTGAGGTATTGCTGAGGGCAGTGTCTCTAAGTCTGTGCAGATGAGCTGGAGAGATAGAAGAGACCAACTTCCATTTTCCAGCAGACTAGTCCCACATGGCAGCCCTGTGCTGGCTGAGCAGGTGGTGTGATGGAAAGATGTGGGGCCAGATGAAAAAAAAAGCTAGAGGGTGGCTGCATGTTACTCATGTCTCTTCCCCCATTTGGCCTCCAGTATAATCTGCCCCTACTGCCCGTCTCATGGGGCTAGAGTACCTTAACCCCTTTAGAACATTAAGCCACTCATTTGGGGCATGAGAGGCGTCTGCTGGTGTGTCTACGTATGAACACTGGAAGCCATTATTGACCATTTATGCCATAAACTGATTTCTTATGGGGCAAGGGCCAGAAAAGTCATGGATGGCAGCAGAATGGAGGAAAAGATCTCAAACCTTAGTGTTCCTAAGGAAAGTGGATGTGAGTGATGGTGTAGCCATAACCTCAGAAGAGCAGGCACCTTCCAGGAGAGAGGAGGGCCAGGCAGGCAAGTCAAGAACTGTGTGGGTTCAGAGGGGGAGGGCGTGTATCCGGTGTAGGCAGGCAGGGAACGGAGGGAAGGCTTCATGGAAAGGCGTTGTTTGAGCTGAGCCCAGTGATTTGGACAGGCAGAAATGAGAAGCATCCAAAACAAAGGGAACTGTACAGGCAGACACTCTGTGGAGGCCAAGTGCTAGGCGGGGCATGCTCGAGAGAAAAGTGCAGGGTTCTGAATGGGATGGGAGCACGTAAAGGAAGAGCAGGAAGTCAGGAGGTTTATGGGAAGACAGTGTGGAGGCACCTGGGTGGTGGGCTGAGCTTTTCGTCAGGTATCTCATGGGCAAGTAGCTTCTGCTCAAAGCTGATCCAAGTTGAGTTCACTTCTTGGGTGGTAAGGGCAAGCCTTTTAGTGCACGTGGAAAGTTATTCCCAAGCCTCCCACTCTCAGACCACAGAGGATAGCTAGTGTGGGGGTAGAGCATTCGACTTGTGGTCAGGAAAGCTGTGCCCAATTAAACATCTCTGATGTCTCCACAGGCACATTTTTTGTCTTTCAAAAAGTTGTCGAGAGATTACTAAGAAAATGTTGTTAAAGCATCTGGTTCCCAGAAAGAGAAGTGCGTTAGAATACTTAGTCCTAGAAAAGACCATGATTTAAAATTACAGAGAAATAATAAAATAACTCCACTGGCTGGGGGCAGGAAGGGGTGCGAAGCAGGTATGAAGATGGTTCTGAGTCCAAAGAACCAATCAGAGACAGAAAAGAGGACACCACTTGATTGTCCTTTTGTACACGTGGTAGAAATCAAAAGAAGAATGTCTTCAGTAGATAATGTTTTCTGAGCAAGTGTTCTACCACATGGTCTTCTAGAATGAGTTGACTATGGCCAACAGCCAGCCTCCTGTGTTCATGATAATGGGCTCATCTTTGTGCATACACAGGTGACAGAAGCTAGCAGGGTAGACAACATGTATGCAGCACAATCTCATCCCTAGAGGAATACATGAGAGAAAAGTCATGGATGGCAGAAGAATGGAATGAGAGAGAAGGAAAGGAGTAAAATGTGCTGGGATAGAAAAGGTTACAGGTTGCCTGTGGGTAATAGAATTATGAGTCGTGTGGGTTGTGGCAGTGAATATGTTTTCTTAACACTTCTCCATACTTGAACATTTTTACTTAGTAATCATGTATTATTTTCATGGGGGAAAAATTATGAAGAGGTTGTAGGGGGGGAAAGGGGGGAAAGGAAAAGAGACTCCCCTTGCAAATTATTCCTTATTTGACTCTGACCTATTGCCAAACCAGGAAAAGATGGGTCAAAGTGAGATGAAGTTACCTGGTAGTATCCCATAGTGCTTAGTTTCTCCTCCTCTCTCCCTCTTTGGCTCCATAGTTGCCAGCTGTGCAATTTACCTTTTTTTTTCTTTTCTTTTTTTTAATAGTACACGGATCCTCGCTGTCCTTGGTTTCCAGCACATCATCAATTTATTCTACAGTGAGTATAAATCAATGCTATGTGGCTATGACCGTGAGAACTGGGGCTCCTTTCTCATGTATGTCAAGAATAAAATATAAAATGAAATTGTTTCTCCTAGAGAAAGTATCTCCCTCGTAAGGGGCCTGATTCATCAGGGAGTAAGATTTGAAATTCACAAACAGCTACGAATTGTTAACGTCTCAACCAGTGAATCAGGAACTGACTCCTTTGTTAGAGTGGCATTGCGCTTTGGGTGGGAACTAGTTAGAACGTGTGAGAAGCCTTGGCCACCTGCTGTTAGCCTTAGGAAAGAAAGGCCTTGAACAACTTCTGTCTGCCTCAGTTTCTTTATCTGTCAAGCAGAGAGAATAGCAGCCCTTAGCTTGCGGAGCTTGTGGATTTACTGTTGGGAAGATGACATTGAGCTACAACTTGATGACAAGGACTTTTCCCGTTTTTATTCCTTAGCGTTTGGAACAAAGCCAAGCACGTAGTAGGTGTTCAAAAAATAGGCTTGAATATGAGGAAGTGGAGATGCAACATGAGATAAGGGGGTAGGAGAAGAATAAATGAAACAAGATAGGATTGGGAGGAAGACAAACCATAAGTGACTCTTAATCTCACAAAACAAACTGAGGGTTGATGGGGGGAGGGGGTTTGGGGGGGTTATGGACATTGGGGAGGGTATGTGCTATGGTGAGTGCTGTGAAGTGTGTAAACCTGGCGATTCACAGACCTGTACCCCTGGGGAAAAAATATATGTTTATAAAAAATAAAAAAATTTAAAAAAAAAAAGGCTTGAATAAGATAAGAAAACACCCGTGAAGCACCCAGGGCAGTGCACACAGCGCAGAGCAGGCGCTGGCTGTCGTCGGTGTTGGCCAGCTTCTGTGAGTGCTCTGCTGAGCAAATCCACATGGAATCAAATACGGTTCTGGATTTGTTCGGGGGTGCTTGCTTTTTTTTATAGCTATGTGTGTAGCTATGTGCGTAACTGTTTATCTTAGAAACCTTACTTTGGGAATTCCTATAGGAGAAAAAATCATTTCATTAATTGAGAATTGGAAATTCTTTAGCTCTTCATTCCTTGGAGGACAGATGTTTTAGTAATTCACTTTTTGGTAGTGCCGGGTTCCTGAGCTACGTGTATGTAGCAGGACAAACTGTATATGGCCCCTTAGAAGCTAAAGGCCATCCCAGAATCCAGCGAGAGAGACTAGGGCCTGACTCTTCTTTCGTAGGCCTGTAGCGAGTAAACAGACTTCAGGGATTGCTGACATGGTCTGACTTGAAGGACCTTGAAATGATCTCTTCTGCTCCTACCCACCTTGCCCCTCCACCTCCAGAAAACCTCCTTCCTCAGCCAGTCATCTGGTCTGAAGTGTCATCACAGAACCCTCGCTCTTTCATTTCTTAGATATCACTGAAGCCGTTGTCTACGAAGAAAACGTAGAGGTGACCTTCTGTCAGCTAGCCCATACGTTAAGTCCTTTCTTCAAGAGGGAAAATTGGTGACATGGGTGCCAAGATGGTACTTTCAAACCTAGATTTACTTCTTAAACAGGATTTACTGGCCCTCGGTCTGTGCCGGGCTCTAGGCTAAGCCCCAAGGATGAGATGTAGGTGGAGAGAGGAGCCTGCTGCTGAAGGCTTCTGAGGCCAGAGGCACCCAAGAACACGTTGGGTTGTGGGACTCTACAGTCACAGGGTTGGTACAGAGCCACTACGGCAGACATCGCTGTGCCCGAGCCCCTTGTTTTCCCAGTGGAGCTCCCAGAGTTTCCTGTCAACACAGAGAGGGCCAGTTGTTCTTGGAAGAGTGGAAAACAGGGCCTGGCCTACATCAGCCAGCCTAGGAGGGAAAGAATATGAGCTGCTCCCACTGTGAGAATTCAGATGCAGGAAGCCATCCCTGGCATTTTCTGGCCACGGTGCCTTCATGCAAATCATTGCAAGGTCTTATCCTCAGGAGCCTTTCCGTAGCTCCTATTCTGGGTGTGTGGACAGGAAATTTCAAATGATTCTTTCTGGATTGATGTAAATTCACACATTACCAAAGACCTAGGAATAGTATTCAGTTTCGTGTTTAACCAGATAGCAAGAGACCCAGGGCCCCGTCTTCGTTTTTTTCTCACTGTTTGACTTTGTACAAATGACCTAATTGTTCCAGGTGTCGTCAGTTTTGTCCTTGCTGTTGGGGGTCTGTGGCATCTCAGGGCTGCCCACAACTTCTGACATTTGCTGAGTTGAAGGGTCTCCTTTTACCTGTGCCTTCTCTGAGCATATAGGTTACTTCTGCAGACTTTTATAAGAAATAGCCTAACATTTAAACGTTTTCACGCTCGAGTAGTTTGCAGATTCCAAACTGTATCTGGCTACATAGGTACCACCCAGCATGGACATGGGGTCCCTTCTGTCTTATTAGCCACTTGGCAATGATAGAATTCTAAAACTCAGGCACCTTTGTAAATGTTAAGGTGAACCAGTCATTTCTTGTCTAAAACAAGATGGTTGTGTTTCCTAAGCTGCCCCCAGCCCAGACCAAAGAGTCTGTTTAATGGCTGAGTGTCTTAAAGGTTCTTATTGGATGATTGATAATGGGTTTTTCCCCTGATATCTATGTAATTTCTGGATATTCAAGAACGCTCATCCTGGCTAAAAATTGCCTGAAATTTTAATTACGAAGGAAAGAAAAGGCAACATGTTGGTGAACAGATACCATGGAGAAGTCAGTGCCAACCCTTGGAGTCGAGAAACTCTAAGGGGCCCCATCTGGCCTTGGACTGGCTTTCTTAAGTGGTAGAGAGCAGCAGTTGCGCTCTCAGGAGATCTCCTGAATGGAGGGAGGCTCCAACCTCACTTAGAGTTCCCAGAGGCACAGAAGAACAGCAGCTGGGGGTAAGATACAAAATATAGGATTTTCCAGGCTGCTCTTGAGAACAGGGGCCCAGACCTAGAGACAAATGGGCAGAATGACAGATGGTGGCAGAGGTATGAGAAGGAGTGTTGGGCCCATGGACGTAAGTGTTTAGAAGTAGGGCTCATCCTACTTGGATGGTTCAGCCTGCTTACAGACCTCCGCTAGCCTCCCAAATGTTAGATTGCCATGACGTTCTCACCATTAACTTTCTCCTTTGGATCAGACTCAGAAGTTCAGGGGCCCGATTTCGGGAAGGCCTCCGTGAGAATGTAACTGTAGTAAAAGAAGGAGAATGTTCTTGTTAAGATCATAGACTCTAGAGCCAGACTACCATGGATCCAATCCCAGCTCTGCATCTTAACAGCTGGGACCATGGGCAAATTATTCAACCTCCCTGTGCTTCAGTTTCCTCATCTGCAAAATGTGAGTGAATAGTATTAGTACCTGCTCAGGAGGTTGTTACGAGGATTAAATGAATAATGAAAGGAAAGGGCTTAGAAGAGTGGCATGTGGTAAGCATTCAATAAATGCCACCTACTATAGGAGGTGAGGGACTTGGCGGTCATGGTCACCCCTGTACCCCGGCTTCTTAACACAGTGCCTGACACGTAGTAGAAAATCCATAAATTTTGATAGGTGGTAGTAGTGGACATGAAGAGATGAACACCTAGATGGGCAAAGAGGGATAGATGAATATTTCCAGAGAGGGAAGAGTGAGCCCTGGAACTCTCCCAGCGTTCTCCCGAAAACATTTCTTAGATGAGATTGTCCAGCTGTGTGACGTTAGGCAAGGTCTGACCTCTCTGTGCCTCAGAAAGAATACGGACCTACTCTGTAGGGCTGTTGCAAGGATTAAGTGGTTTGGCCCCAGTATTCCTAAAAACCAGTTGCTGTTGTTAGAAGCCAGCTTGAGGGAGGACCCCCCTGGGCAGCATCAGGAGTCTGGGCAGTGGGGTAGGGAGCAGGGGAAGAAGGGAAAGCAGGCAGGAACCACCTCCCACCTGCTGCATCTGGTGGATGTAGGGTCTGTGGGGGGGGGGGTAATTACTCACATTCTGAGCTAATGGAGAAGTAGACACCAGGGTAAGATGCTGATTTTTTAAAGTGATGGGTTTGTCACTAGTAGCTGATAGGATTGATTGGATTGGACCAATCCAGTTGGTCTAGGACCCAAGGATAAAACAGAGTCTTTACTGATCTTCACTTGCCTGTCTGGCTCCCAAGTCACTGCCCCACCCCCAGGGAAGCGTGAATGGAGGGATGGACAGAAGGTAGGAATCCTTCCAACATTGCCCAGAATGTGGGGGTGTCTTTTTTTATGGGCCCCGGGCAGAACCGCAAGAGAATGAAAGAAAGGTTCCCCTTTGTTGTCGGTTCCCCCTATGGAAGGAGAGAGGTAGCCTTGTAGTCCCTGGCTGGCAGGTGTCTGTGTCACCACAGACACAGCCCCAGGATGGGAGACTCTCCCAGTAAGAGGGCCCACAGGCTGCACCCATACCTCCCAGAGTCACAGGTAACTGGGGGCCGTGAGGTGGGGCGGCGGGAAGATCCACACAGCCTGGGGAGTCAGTTGGCTGGCTGCTGGGGGCTCCCAGCCTCCCTCACTTGGGAGGCCTTCCTGCTGCTCCTGGGGCAGCACCTCAGACAGAAGAGAGGGAGGGGTAAAACCGGTGGTTAACCCATGAGCAGTCCTCCCTCTAGGAGCGCCCAGTCACATTACAAATTCAGATGAATGACTGGTAATTCTTTAGTGTACGTTGTCCCCAGTGTGGCCTGGGATGTTTTTGAACCTGTACATTTATTCGCTAAATTAGGGCATCTGTCCCTGGTTCATCCCTTCTTGTCATGCCTTCTCCAGAGCACCTGACTGTATCATCTCCACACGGGAGCAGGGGGGCTCCTCACAGCCAAAATAATTGCACTGTTGTTCTCATCCTTCCTAATTTCTTATAATCATATGCTCTTCCTGTTTGGCCTTTCTCATTGGTCAAATTAACCGAACCAGTTTATCCAGAAAAATACACCAGGAAAGAAACTCCTAACTTTTGGGGACTGCTGTAAGCATCCAAATCGGGTGTTCCCCACCGACTGCATTGCCCCATTCTTTGTTCCTCAGCTGATCTCTAATTTCCCTTATGATTTCCTTACAGCCCGAAGAAAAGTGCCAGTCTGAGGTAAGGATCAGTTTGCTGGTTGCATTCCCTCCTTTGCTATTATCCACTACTTCGCCCCCCTCAACCTGGGAACGGGCTCTTAAAGCAAGTAACTCTGTCCCTTGCCAACCTTTAGATTCGCAAACTGCGGCGGGAGCTGGATGCCTCGCAGGAGAAGGTTTCAGCTTTGACCACGCAGCTGACCGCAAATGTGAGTACAGATACAGGGTGGTAGCCACGGTGGGGGGGGCGGGCAGCCCCTGCTCTCTTCTGACGGGCCGTCAGGGCCGCCTGCCCCCGAGTACCGTGGGAGCAGTACCGTGGGAACAGTACCGTGGGAGGGGCGTGGCTTTAGCCTTGTGAGCTTCCACTCAGGCTCTGAGCGGCTCTGGGCTCCACGCAGCATCTTTGAGCCTCTGAGCCTGTATTGGCTCATTTGTGCGATGGTGGATGGTAAGCGTCTGCTCTCTGGGTTGTCACGTGGTCAGTACTGGAATACGTTAAGGGCTCAGGAACGTTCGTTTCCCTTTTTTTTCTCTTTCTGAAACTTTTCATCTTCGGGGGGGGGAAAAAATAAAAGAAATCCAAGGCTCCAAATAAATAGCTGACTGTTCTATAATTATAAGACCCACAAGTACGTGTTCAGGAAATGCTGCCAGCTAGCATTGAATTCAACAACTGTTTGAGTGCCAACTGTGCCTCGGGCACCGTGGGTTCAGCAGCAAAGCAGGCACAGTCACTGTCCTCTTCGTGTGCTTTCTGTGGTGCCGCAGAGAGACAGAACTGTTTAGCTATGACATGATAACTGTTCAGAGAGAGAGATAAAGGGAGAAGATTGTGGGAATGTGTAAGGAGGATCACCTAGCTCAGTCTCGTGGTGGGGGAGGGGGAGGTCAGGAAAGGCTTCCTGGAGGAGGTGACATCTGGGGGATGCTGTGTAGGGGAGGATGTGTGGAAAGGCAGCATTCTCACTAGTGTGCAAAATGTATTTGTGCAGAAGCCCAGGGTGAAGAGCTTAGCGCATTTAGAAACCGTAAGTAGCTCAGTGTATAATTAGAATCTATGGCTTGGATATGGGGAAGAGGCAAGGGGAGAAGGAAGAGGGGAGGGGAGGTGAGGTGAGGCATCGAAGGAAATCTAGGGGCAGGTCCGTCGCATATCATGGAGGTTCTCAGCTCTTAGGCGGACAGTTCGGGCTAAAGGAAGTAGAGCTTCATTGGTGTGTGTGTGTGTGTGTGTGTTGTTGTTGTTTTAAGATTTTATTTATTTATTTGACAGAGAGACATCACAAGTAGGCAGAGAGGCAGGCAGAGAGAGGGGGGAGAAGCAGGCTCGCTGCTGAGCAGAGAGCCCAATGTGGGGCTCGATCCCGGGACCCTGAGATCATGACCTGAGCCGAAGGCAGAGGCTTTAACCCACTGAGGGCCCCACCCCCACCCCCGCTGCCCCATTGGTGTGTTTTAAGCAGAGCAGTGAGGCAGTTTGGTTTGCTCTTCATGAAGCTTCCTGACTGTGGCGTAGTTATAAGATCAGAGGGTCAGAGTGAAAACAGAGACTTGAGGTCTGCAAAGTAGCCCCACTGCAGAGCTGTGGGCCGGTGAGGGTTGCCCTTCAGAGGCCGGAGCCTGAGGTTTGGAAGGTGTGGAGATGCCCCTGAGGCAGGGCATCCTGCCTGGAGCACACGGCCTGGTCTGAGACCACAAACACCTGTGTCTGAACCTGTCCCAAAGCAGCCTGCACGACCCCATAATATGCTGTTAGAATGAAGGGCAACTTCAAAAGGCTGTCTTCTCTGGACCAGGAAGCTGAGTCAATCAATACTCCAATGAATCATTTTACCTGCAGTTCTTGCCCAGGTCATTCCTGCTGAAGCCTGAGCCAATGGAAGGAAACCAGTTCTCTTTAAAGTCTGTGCGCAAAGTACCTTGTGGAGTACTTGACCTTAATGACGAGCTCAATAACTCGTAACTTCTCTCACTGTTCATGCTCCTGAGTGCTCTCACATTTCTGGGAGTCTTTGCATTATTTTCTCACCCTCCCATATCAGGCCATTACGTGTTTCGTTATCCGTCTGTCTTCTCTCTGCTGCTTCCATCGTCAGTAGCAGAACATCAGAAATTGCTGGGAGATCTGAATTAAGATTTTATTTATTTATTTGACAGAGAGAGACACAGGGAGAGAGGAAACACAAGCAGGAGGAGTGGAAGAGGGAGAAGCAGGCTTCCCACAGAGCAGGGAGCCTGATGCAGGGCTTGATCCCAGGACCCTGGGGTCATGACCTGAGCCAAAGACAGATGCTTAACGATTGAGCCACCCAGGTGCCCCTGGGTCTTATTAAAAAAAAAAAAAAATCCCGGAGGTATTCTTCTATGAATAGTCGTCATCTGGGTACCATTTGAATCCAGACCAACCCCAGACCCAATGAGCCAATCTGGATATAATCCAAATGTGAGGTTTGACAGCGACCCCCATCCCGAGTGATTTGGAGCTACTCCCCTAGTTAAGAATTCCTGGTATCCATTGGTGCCCTTTTACTCAAAAGCTAGTTTCATTAGTTTACTTATCAAAAAACTTGGGTTCCTTCCTCCAATGACCTTGTGCTGCCCAAAGGATCTTACAATGGGCCATTTGGAACTCTACCCTCTGCTCCAGAAGAGTCCGAGGGAGATCCCTTGAATTACTATTATTCCAAAAGTATGTTTTGCTCCTCACCAAAGCCACTGAGTCCAGTATTGTTTGAAAGTAAATATTTAGTCTTACCACACACCACCGGCCGCACTAATGTGTTTTATTGTCTGCCATCTTTCTCACAGACCAAGCTGTGTTTGTTTTTCTAGGGCAAACTACTCAAAGCCACCTTCTCTGGGTGTTTTTATACCATTCGTGTTTGTTTTTCTGGGAATGTGAGAATGGCACTTGGTAAGAAGTCAGCTGTGTGGCTCTGAACCAGGCTGCAAACAGCCTCTCAGCCCATGTTTTCACAGTTGCTGATGACCCAAAGTTAGTCCTTTCTCTAGAAAGCAAAATGCAAACCTCTGGTTCTTCAGAGCAAACATGGCTTCTTCTTGAGTTTGCAAAAACACTTTCTCAATAGCAGTCTTCTTGGGGTCAGGTTTTTGTGTTTGAGGGAATAGAAAGTATGAGTGCCCACAAACAGAATCCTGGGTGGCAATTAAAGAATTGAAATAAATGGAAATTTGGTCATTAAAATTTGACCTTGGCGTTCCTTTGAAACGCAAGGTTAGCAGTAATTCATTTCAACATCCTGGCCCTGGCCCTGTTTCCTTCATCCACTATGTAAACTGTCTTGAATTAATTGGCTTTGGTTCTGCCATATTCTCCTGGGCAAACTAAACAAAGGCATATCTCTTGATTTTAAAATGCAACAGCATTTTCTCAGTTTTTAATAGGGAGAGAGCATGCAATCAGAAAGAAACTGGGCAATCCACTTAACATTTCTATTACAAGAGGTCCTGCTCCCTGCTAACTCCTACAGCTGTTGGAAAAAAGACCCAACATGCTAGAACATCTCTAGTTCATGCTAGAGATGCCTTATCCTCAGCTGTTTCAGTTAGATGAAGTCTAGTGACAAGAGGCCTCTGACTCACTTCTCTGATCTCTCCTCTTTAAATTCAAATGTCCGCTGACCCTCCTCATGACCCCGGACAATGTCCCACCTGTCCCCCCCCCCCACCCCACCGCCCGGGTTGTTCCCTCACTTTGCTTCTTTACTGAGTACATCAGTCCTCTCTTCCTCTAGAATATTACAGACCCCATGATCAAATCTTACTTCTCCCTCCTCCCAGGAGTCACAGTCCCTCTGCTAGCTCTTCTCTTTCTCCTGTATTTGCCCACTCCTCTCCTACAACCCTTTCCCGATCTGTCCCCACCCATGTTCTCATCCTGTCTTTTGTCACTTCATCCATCCCAAACCTCTTTCTTTCCTTTCCCCACAGTGTCTGTTCATTCCTATGTTTATGGACCTGTGTTCACCTATATTGTTTCACTTAATGCTCACAACAACCCTGGGAGGCAGTAGATACTGCATCCATTTTATAGATGGAGAAATTGGGGTGCCTGGGTGCCTCAGTGGGTTAAGTGTCTGCTTTCAGCTCAGGTCATGATCTCGGGGTCCTGGGATCGAGCCCCGCATCGGGCTCTCTGCTCAGCAGGGAGCCTGCTTCCCCCTCTCTCTCTGCCTGCCTCTCTGCCTACTTATGATCACTGTCAAATAAATAAATAAAATCTTAAAAAAAAAAAGTTTTATAGATGGAGAAACTGTTGCCAATAGGATTAGCTCTCTTGTCCGTTCCTTATTCTTGGTTTTAACCATATTATCAGGACCCTCAGTCAACCAACCAATGTATCACGGGCTGTTCTGGAGGAAGGAAGAGGCTTTGTGTTAGGACACGAGGTTGCATCTTGTCCTTGAAGAGGGTTGAAGAGAAAGGGGCAGACAGAAAAGCATCTCATTTCTCTTAATATACGTGTTTTTTTCCCTACATTTTTAACATCTCTGCAAGTAGGATGCATATTTTAATTAGAATTGGCAGCATTTCTCAGGATGTCTTAGTACCATATGAAATAGTGGTGTGTCTGATGTCGTGTTCTAACAGGTATATGAAATTATGGAGGTGGGGCACCTGGGTGGCTCAGTTGTTAAGCCTCTGCCTTCAGCTCAGGTCATGATCCCAGAGTCCTGGGATCGAGCCCTGCATCGGGCTCCCTGCTCATTGGGGAGCCTGCTTCTCCCTTTCCCTCTGCCCCTACTCCAGCATGTACTCTCTCCCTCACTTGCTCACTCTCAAAAAAAAAAAAAAGTATGGCGGGGCCTTGGGGGAAAACCATAACTCCTTGGAGGAACAGGGGAAGGTTTCTCCAAGGAGGGAGCAGATGGGCCTTTCAGTAGCTTTTTATTAACCGGGATTAGAATAAACAAAATAGCCCAACCACTGTGTTCATCCATTCTGCAAACGTGCCCAATGTGAGCCTCTCCTGTGAGCTTGGCACTTGGAGAGCAAAGCTCAGGGGAGCAGAGGAGGAACACAGGAGGCAGTAGTTGCTGGAGTACGTGCGTCCCTAACTGTGACACCGACATGCATGTAGACCAACAGTCCATGTGCTTTCAAGAGTAACCATGAGAGAACCAGCCCATCTGGGGGTGTCATGAAGACATGAGCTGAGATCTCTTGAGAAGGATATATAAAAACCAGACAGGGAGGCGTGGGGGAAGAGCACTGTAGGCAGAGGAGAAAGTAGGTACAAAGGACCTAAGGTGGGAAGGAGCACAGGGTCTTTAAGGACACAATGAGCTGGAGTGACTGGATCTCAAAAAGGTGGAAAGTGGGGCTCCAGGGGCTGAAGAATTAGACGGGAGCTAACTCATGGGGCACCGGTGAGGATTTCAGCCCTGAAGACCCAGCACCCCCTGGGCCCTCTTGCCTTGCGAGCTAGTCTGACTGAGGCTGTGTCTTTCCCTCTCCAGGCCCATCTGGTGGCAGCCTTTGAACAGAGTCTTGGGAACATGACCATCAGACTCCAGAGTCTGACCATGACGGCTGAGCAAAAGGTAAAGGCCTCCCCCCTGCTTAGAACTGACAGCACAGCTCCAAATTGACGCTCTCTTATTTCCGAGAAGGGTATGGATTTTAGTGTATTTGGACTCTTGGAATCGAATCGTAAAGAGCTGTACTCTGTTGAGTGCACATCTGATCCAAATGGCGGGGTGTGGAGTGGCCGCAACCCTTCATCTCTCACAGGCCTGTTTCTGCTGCTTTTTAAAAAAGATTTTATTTATGTGAGGGGGAGAGGGAGAGAGAACACAAGCAGGGCGGAGGAGCAGAGAGAGCAGCAGATTCCCCGCTGAGCAGGGAGCCCCACACGGGGCTTGATCCCAGCACGCTGAGATCATGACGCGATCCGAAGGCAGACGCCTAACTGACGGAGCCACCCACGTGCCCCCATTTCTGCTGCTTTCGTGTGTTTCTACGCCCGTTGAAAATCAATCCATCCTACGGGAGGGGACAGGTTTGGTGGAACTCCTTCGTTCCCTCTGCTCCGTGCTGAAATGGAGTTGTTGTTCATGTGAACTCTGTACAGAGTGACTGTAGGATGACCAGTATTTCCTGCTGTTCCTCAGGATTCAGAACTGAATGAGTTAAGGAAAACCATCGAGCTGCTCAAGAAACAGAACGCAGCCGCCCAGGCTGCCATTAATGGGGTCATCAACACGCCAGAGCTCAACTGCAAAGGTAAAGGCAGCCTCCAGACCAGCGACCTGCCCGCCCTTAGGAACCTTCCCCTGACGACGTGTGCCGCAGCCTCCCTGCCCCGGGGTGCATGTCCCATGTCGGAAGACACTTGTGGTCCGTGACTCCAGGCCTCTAGGAAGATAGCTCTTCCAGCTCAGTCTTTTCCCTGATGTAGCTCAAAAATGGAAGAACATCTGTTTATATTGGTGAAGTGTCAAAAGTGTTGCGTTTAATTTCACTGGTGTCCTTATATTTACATGTGGACGCAGGGCCAGCCTGAAATGAGCATCTCGTGTTCATCCAGGGAAGTATTTCTGAGTCAGTTGCTTCGTGCTTGTGTATCTTAACCTGGGGGGCCAGATGGGGCTGTGAGGATGAGTTCCCTCCCGCCGCAGTGATGTTGTCGGTGATGGTACAAGTCACAGTGACAGCCAGCATTTAGGGGACACGCACTGTGTTCTAAGCACTCTGCTCAGTGTTATAAATTATTCACTCTCTCATTTTCCTCCCACGACAACCTTACGAGGGCAGTGCTGGTCCTCTCCACATTGGATTGATGAGAACAGTGGGTTGCGGGGGCGAGAGCCCCGTCCAGAGGTCACAGTAGTAAGATACACGAAGTGGGACTAGAACCCAGGTCTCTCTGACTCCGCAGCCGGTGCTCGTAAAGAGTAGGCTGCGGGTTTAGTTCTGTGCTTGTGCGGAAAACTGGCCACAACCTGTATTTGGTGTCTCCGTGATTTCAGATACCAGGTCTCTGAAACGTGATGACAGAGTTGAAATGGGAGGGACTGGCAGCCCAAGTGAGCAAAGAGCGCGTTCCAGGAAGAGGGGCTCCCACACATTAAGACCCTGAGATGAGATGGGCTCGGCATTCCCGAGGGGTCAAGAGAAGGCTAGTGAGGGGGCGCCTAGGTGGCTCAGTGGGTTAAAGCCTCTGCCTTTGGCTCAGGTCATGATCCCAGGGTCTTGGGATCGGGCCCCGCATCGGGCTCTCTGCTCTGCGGAGAGCCTGCTTCCTCTTCTCTCTGTCTGCCTCCCTGCCTGCTTGTGATCTCTCTCTCTCTGTAAAACATGAAAAAAAAAGGAAAAAAAAAAAAAAAAAAAAAAAGAGAAGGCTAGTGAGGCAGGAGCGTACAGGGCAGACTGGGGTGGTGGGAGGCACCCTGACAACACAGGTGACTGCCACAATTCAGAATCGTCATCGGGTCCCGGTCTCAAGCTTAAGAAAGCTGGTGGCAGGGGCAGGGAATTCTCTCTTGAAGCCTCCCCTGGCTTCTTTTTGGTGGAGTGGCTAGATCGGGCCCTAAGGTAATTGACTGAAGAGGGCTCAGCGTGGACCTGCTCAAGGATCTTAAAACCAGCAGCTGAGAACAGAAGTTCATGTCTAATGGGAAATACCCAGCAGTGCCCGGGTGTGTGGATTTAGGTGTAAGTGTCATTTTCCCTGGGACAGAGGGATGGGCTGAAGGCCGCAGCTGCTGACCTCCTGCCTTGCGTCCCCAGGAAACGGCACCTCGCAGTCGGCAGACCTCCGTATCCGCAGACAACACTCCTCGGACAGTGTGTCCAGCATCAACAGCGCCACCAGCCACTCCAGCGTGGGCAGCAACGTAGAGAGTGATTCCAAGAAAAAGAAGAGAAAGAATTGGGTGAGTGTGCAACCAGAGACCTTCGTGGGTACCAGCAGACCAGTCTCCCCACCCCCCACCCCCAGAAAGAGCCCCCGGGCTAGCTCTTTACTCCAGAGCGTAGACCTTTGGGAGTGGATCCAAAGAAGCTTGTGGGTATGTTTCTACCAAAATCAGTGTTGTGCTCAGCCAAGTACCAGGACTCATGAAAATACCACCATCTTGGAGTTTTCTGTTTCATGAGATTTTATGTGACATACTCATCTTTCATTTCATATCCATGTCATTCCCTCCTCCTCGTAACGTTAGCCACAAAGTTCCAGGTACTAGAGCAAAGTTACTCTTCGGTGGTTTCTTTTTAGTTATTATTATTATTATTTTTTTTTTTTGGAGTGTGTATTGCTAATTATCCCATCATTATCCAGAATCCTTATCTGTTTCTTTACACAGTTACCTCTGATGGCATGGAACCAGTTTTCTCTGAGCGGTTTTTAACCATGCCCTCTAAAGTGAAAGTTGCATAATGTAGATATTAGGAGTTAGTGAAAGGTTTTAAACTGGGGTGTTGTACTTCAAAATGGCAAGTTTAATAGACCCAGTCTCCAGTGCATTATTTCTCTATGTTTCCTTAATCCCAGTGAGCTACTCAAATTTCTGTACAGTGGTGTCTTGAGCAGTTTTTTTCCCATTCTCCTGGGAATATTACACCCACCCACCCAATTTTTTTAAAAGTAGATTCTATGCCCAACATGGGACTTGAACTCACGACCCCAAGATCAAGAGTCGCATGCTGCACTGACCAAGCCAGCCAGGTGCCCTCCTACTGACCCATTTTTAGTTGTGTCGAGGCTGGGGAGCTCTGGTTGGCGTTTGCTGCTCCCTGTCTTCAGTGCAGGGGTAGCTCAGATTGATCTGAAGCTGGCTAGTGCTCACAGCGCCCCATCCATCAGTGCTGACAGCATCGTGTTTCCATAGTAACCTCAGTGTCCTCATCCATTCCATACACTTCTCCCTCATTTTGTGTTATCTTGGATGGGTGGCGAGGTCTGGCCATAGAGCAGTCGCAGTTTGAGGAATTCCGGTTGCTGATGACTTGTGCTGGAAGACCGTAAGACCAGTTTAGCGTGACCCTCTCATCATTCTGATGAATTTTTTTCTTCGTTACTAATGGCTTTTAGTCAACTCATCTGCTATGCCTTAAATAGCATTAACGTATGTTGCTGTTTCTAATATGCTATTGGTAAAATATGGTCTGACTTGATTATCAAAGTAATAAGAGAGAATTATTTTCTATGAAAAACCGTGTTTATCCATTTTCTCCAGTTCAATAACTAAAACTTATTTACTTGCATTAAGACGGTTCTTGGTTATTGGTAGAAGGGAAGATAAAGAATGGGCATTCTCAGATGATCTCAAAGCTGAATTCTGTCTAATCTTTGTCATTTCCTCCTCCACATGGCCCTTTTCCAGAGGTAGGGGCAAGTCTTGAGGTTGGTGATTTGTGTGCCAGATCCTTCTGTTTCTGTAACTGGAAATTTGATGAAAAGTAGGAACTGGGATCTCGATCAGCCGCACTTGGATGTGCCATTCCTTATGGATCTAATATTGATGAGCAAAAAAATCCCATTAACTATTTCAGAATGGCCTGTTTCAGAATTTCTTAATGGCTAAGAAAACCGCCAGGATGTTTTCAGAAAAAAGGTTTTAGTAAAATGGAAATTACTTTTCAAAAGACCTTTTTTCAAAACAAAACTTAACTTTCTTGGTCTAGAAAAATACGTGCTTATCATGGCTTTCGGGGAAGACCCTGCACTTTAATTCTTTATGTTCTCATTAGAGTTTTCAGCTCCATCTCATAATTTGGGGAATTTGTGATATGCCGGTCCCTTTTTTCCCAATATAGTTAATAAATTTCTTAGAAATACCTATTTTTTTTTATTAGCAATTGAGATGGCTAATTCCCTGCTTATTCTATCATCTTATGTGTACACAAGGACAGCAGGAACTCCTGAGTAGATCTCTCCGAAGGCGCTACAGCCATGTTGGGACTAGTGCAGCAGTGAAGCTCTTCTTGCTGAGAAAAGAAGACACAGACATGCCAAAAAAAAAAAATAGTTAAGGCCTTAAGAGACAGAAGTGTGAGAATCACAGGAAGGTCAGGGGCAGTCATTTCCACCAAAGAAGCTGGAAGCCCTTGGCTTGTAGGGACTCCCAGAAGCGCTGTTCCTTTCCTTTCATAATGAAGGAAGATGCCTGTAATGCTCGGGAAGATCCATGTTCCTACCGGAAACCTTCTCTGTGTGTGGTGTTTACTATTGGCCATGTTGTGTCTGAAAAGTCCGAGGCTTTCCCTGTCACTGGCTTTCTCTGTTAAAAATTGTCTTTTTTCCTTCCCCTTCCCCATTTTTTTGCTTGCGTTTTCCCTGGCAGGTCAATGAGGTAAGCAAGACCGACGTTAATATCAGATACCAAGCTAACCCATCCATTGATATGACTAATCTCTGCATCCGTCACCATGTCTGAGCATTCCTGCTTTGTTGCTGTGTAACCTCATCCTTCCGCCATCCATCTGCTGAGCCAGGCTCTGTCTTGCTGTTGGCATCTCGCCTTGAAGCAGGAGTAGGCATGGAATGTCACCCACAGGTCCAGTCCTCTGAGCTGTCAGCACCAGATAACTCTTCTTTCCTTACTGCACTGATTCAAGAGAGCTGTTGGGAACCTTTGTCATTGGTGGGGGGGACACGTGGGAGAATTAATTGCTCTTTTGTCTGCATGTCTCTGTTTGGCCAAGGCCTAAGTGTTGGTTGCAGCCCTGGCCTGGCTGACAGTCTTGTGTGTTCAGTTACGCAGCTCCTTCAAGCAAGCCTTTGGAAAGAAGAAGTCCCCCAAGTCCGCATCCTCTCATTCTGACATCGAGGAGATGACCGATTCCTCATTGCCTTCCTCACCCAAGTTACCGCACAACGGGTCCACGGGTTCCACGCCACTGCTGAGGGGCTCCCACTCCAACTCCCTGTGAGTCTGTCCCCTGGGGATGCACGTGAGTCAGACAATGCCTTTGGCCCCAGGAGCCCTCCCAGATAGGAATGGAGAGGTGTTCTGTTAGCATTCATCTTCTCCTTGGAGTTTTGTACGTCATGCTTTCATAGGACTGGGCATGTTCTTCCAATGCTTTAGGGCTGGAGAGGTCAAGAGAGGAGTCTTCCATTGTTGTTCTGATGGCATCACTGGGTGGCCATGGACAAGGGCTTAACCTCCCTGTTTCCATTTTTTTATTTGTCAAACTGGGATAATGGTTGTTGGCTCCTTATCTGATTGTAAGGATTAGACGAGGTAAATGGATGTGAAAGGGCTAAAACCGTCTTGCTGAGAGGGGAAGATAGTGTTATGAGTGTTAGTTTTTGCTGAAATTTTTAGTGCATTTTTAAATTTTTTTTTTTTAATTTATTTGACAGAGAGGGAGATCACAAGTAGGCAGAGAGGCAGGCGGGGTGGGGGGAAGCAGGCTCCCTGCTGAGCAGAGAGCCCGATGCGGGGCTCAATCCCAGGACCCTGGGATCATGACCTGAGCCAAAGGCAGAGGCTCAACCCACTGAGCCACCCACGTGGCCCTTAGCTCATTTTTGTGGCAAGACTTAAAGAGATTATGCCATCCTTCTCTGATCAAAATTTGGTGTTGACTCTTTCTCTGAGGTCAGCCCTCAGCAACTGGAGGTTTAACAAATGGAGAAGACTCGGTGATATAATTCTCTTTACCAAAGGGTTCTATATTTGGTAAAATGATTGGCCACCAGGGACTCCCCTAGTAAATTTTAAATGAGTCAATTTGTAAAGAACTTTTCGGGAATGCAGCTGCTTCTGTTAAGTGAGACAAGTGTTTGCTCATATGACATTGGCTTAGGTGCCATTTCCCTTGGCAACGAGGTACATAGATAGAGTCCTCTTCTCTTGCCCAGCCAACCTCCCATGGTCTCCACTGAGCACCCACTGATCATTGCTCCATCAGGGGTGTAGGGAGACAGTCCTCTGCCCCATCTAAAAAGAAAATCCCAGGCTCAAGAGGCAGGAGCACATCAGGAATGGCTTGAGATGGACAGATGGGGACCCAGGTGTCAGCTCAGAGGGTGGCACAGCCAGCCAGCCCCCTGCAGAGGTGAGAAAGATCACCCCTGCCCCATAGGATGAAATTCCCTTAGAGGCCGTGGTATACCAGGCCAGGAGTGAGAGAATTGCAGCCCAAGTGCTTTGCAGGGACAGTTAATGAGATGAGACCGTGCCCAGAAGAGAGCCACTGTGGCTGAGGTTGGATAAGAAAGTGGGTGTCTGGACATGTCAGTTTCATCATGGCTGAAAATGAGGTTAATTTCATCTACTTTCCTGGATACTTGTGAGGGCCCAGTCAGATACTATGCATGAAGGACCTCCTTCCTCTGCCCCTTCCATCTCAGGAGGCCAGATGTAGGGAGCTGTCCCTACGTCCACTTAGCCAGCAGGCCACCCTGCTGAAGACAGCAGCCACACCTGTGTCCCAAGGCTGACTTATGGGATGGGTGCATGTAGTGTGGATGAGGGGCTCGGCTGAGTCTTTGCAGTGCACCAAAGCCTGGACACCACACAAGGCAGGAAGTGAGTGACAGGGAACAGCAGAGCCTCGACTTCTCCTGGCTTCTACTCTCGCTCCACGCCAGGCACCAGGCACAGCAGTGAACCAGATGGATGAAGTTCTAATTCTGATAGACCCTGTATCCTCAGGTGAGAGGCAGACATGAAAGAAATCTGAATAAACTAGAAAACAATGAGTTAAGGGTTCACACTGGGAATTAAAATGGTGTGTTGGGACACAGAGTACCTGGCAGCAACTGTGGGTGGGGTGGCCAGGAAAGGAGGGGATATTCCAGCTGAGATCTGCATGATAAGAGGGACCACTGGTGAGTTCTGGTCCATAACACTAGCTTCTGTAACATATGCGGTCGCAGGGCTCAGTGGCTTGACACGGGACTGTTGATCTCTGGTTCACTCGGAACCTAGGACAGGTATGCATCGTCAGTCAGCAGGCGGCCTGCCACAGAAGGCTCCTTCCATCTTCTGCACGAGCCATCCCACAGGACCTGAGTCCTCTGCTGAGAACTCTGTGTCCAGCCAGCAGGTGGGGAGTGGGGGAGGGGAGAGAGTGCAGGAGAGTTTTATGGGCCAGGCCTGGGAGAGACACATGTTCCCTCTTCCCAGTCCACTGAGCAGGGCCATCCCACCCACAAGGGAAGAAGTGAAATCTCGCACCCAGGAGGGGAAGGAAATAGGCTCCCTGCAGCCTTCCTGACCCCCCCACCCCCAGAAAGCTCAAGGAGCCCAAGGTGGAGACAGGCTGGGTATGGCTGGGGAGGAGGGATGGTCCCTGTGTGGCAAGTGTGGCTGCTGCATGATAGGAAGTAGGAAAGTAGCAAGAAAGGAGGCCATGGAAGGAGGCAGGGCCAGAACATGGGAGGCACTGAAGTCAAAATAAATTTGCATCTGCTTCTATGTGTGATGGGTTATCAGCCATTGGAGAGTTGTTTTGGGTTTTTTGTTTTTGTTTTAAGATTTATTTATTTTAGAGAGATAGCTACACAGGGTAGAGGGTGCAGAGGGAGAGAATCTCAGGCTGAGCACAGAGACCTGTCTCAGGCTCGATCTTACGACCCTGAGACATCATGATCTGAGCCAACATCAAGAGATGAACACTTAACGGACTGAGCTACTCAGGCAGCCCATGGAGAGTCCCCCCCCCCCAAGTTTATTTAAGTAATCTTTACATCCAGTGTGGGACTCAAACTCATGACCCCAGAATCAAGGGCCATATGCTCCACTGACTGAGCCAGCCAGGTGCCCCGTGCACCGGAGAGTTTCAAGCAGGAATGTAACATCATCTGAATGCATGTTTCACAAGGCTCAGTCTCCTCCCTGCAGATAAGGAATTCGGGGGAGCAAGAGTGGAAGTAAGGCAACCACGTAAAGGCTAATAGCGCTCTCCCCCTTGTCCGCCCCACTGTGGGCTCTTTCCTGTCCTTGGAACACTCCAGTCACACATCCCCGGGCCTTTGTCCTTTCTGTGTCCTCTGCCTGTCCCACTCCTCCCCTAGATACTCTCTTTCTTCAGGTGCTCAGTGTTTCCTTCTCACTAATGCTTTGCCTGCACCCCTTGCGTAAAATAGCCCCCTTCCACAGCCAGCACTCCCCGTCACCCCCTTAGCCGTGTTCTGTTTCTCGCCATGGCCTGTGTCACCACCTGACATGTAGATTTCCTCAAGTTATTAGTTATTTGTTCTTTGTCCCCACTACACCCCCCCAAAAAATATAGTATAAGCCACAGGGTGGTAGGCACTGTTGGATTTGCAGACATTCAGATATTAGATGAAACATGGTGACTCGTAGTAGTGAGTCCTGGATGGATTTTAAGATGTGTTCTAGAAGAAAGCTGACAGCATGTGGTGATGTCAGGTGTGAAGGAAAGAGAAGAATCCTTGAGTATTCTTAGATTTGCATCTTGCGTACCTAGGTATGTGGAAGCATTGTTTCTGGAACAGGTGGAAGGCATGGGCAGGGCAGGGCAGCTATCAGGAGCTCTGGCTTGACTGTGTAAAGTCCGAGCTGCTCAGGAGACACCCATGCGGAGATGCCAACCAACCTGGGGCTCCTGGAGGTCTAGATCTGGGAGACGTGGGCTCATAGGTGGTCCTGAAAGCTGAGAACCTGGAGGATTCTCCACAGGGCTGGATAAAGATAGAGAGGAGCCAGAGGGCCAAGGACTGAGCTCGGGGTGCTCTGACCTTGGGGTGCGCAAGGAGAGCAGTCAGCGAGACGGGGAGAGGTGGGAGGAAAACTGGAAGCAGAGAAAATAAACTGCTGGGAGGGAAGCGGTAGCTGGACCATGTGCTGCCAGGCAGTCGGGGAGGATGAAGGAGAGTGGGTGACGCACTTGGCCGTGCAGCTTTCCCAGCAGCCATCGCGAGAATGCTGCCTCCAAACCCGCTCTCCCATAGGGACTGGGCAGGGCAGACTCTGGTCTGCTGCCCTTCTCCAGCATTCCACAGCATCCGTGCACACTGGAGATGTTTGTTTTTGGTCTGGTTTTCCAGCGGGTGGGCAGAAAGCAAATGCTTCTTTCCAACCTTGAAGGGTTTGTAAGAATGTGCAAATCTAGAAGTGAGAGGAAGTTCAAAGAAGAAACCCAAGGCAGAGGAGTTGGGGGCCCAGAAAAGTGCCTACCCTGTGGGAGAAAGGAATGGTGGTGTGGGAAGGCAGTGTTTCCCACACTTGAGGAGTTTAAAATTAGGTATGCCACCAGCCCTGCATCTGGCCGGGACAGCGGAAATAGGGGAGTAACATGGTAGGGACGGAGTGGGAAAAAATCAACATCAGGTTGCTTCAGTAAGTTGTCCATGAAGTGGATGAGCATGTACTGAGTGCCTGCTGGATACAGTTCAGGAGCATGGGCTCTAGACTTAAGTAGACGCACCAGATTCTATCCTGATTCTGTTACCCTGATTTTTTTTTCCCCCCCCACGGGCACGGTAATCTCTCCAGGACTCACCCTCCCCCTGTTTGAAAGGGGATAATTGTAATACATCTCCATGGAGTTAGTAGTGGATGGAGCAAACTGATACTCTTTGGCTACCTGGCACAGTTGTTCGTGTATTCAGTAAGCATTTGCTGAGCACCTATTACATACCGGTCAGTGTGATTAGGCACCGGAAATGATGCAGAGAACCCTGGTCCTGGAGCAGCCAGCACCCATGCAGGGAGTGACCTGTTGAGTGCAACCAAATCTTCGGAGACTTAACAGAAGGCTACCGTGGAAGGAACCTGGGCACTAGGGTTAGAGACTAAAACTTAGCTGGGACTGTTGCAGAAGAACTTAGTTTTCGGGGCACCTGGCTGGCTCAGGTGGATTCTGCCAGGCTCTTGATCTTGGGGTTATGGGTTAGAGCCCTACGTTGGGTAGAGGGATTGTTAGAAAATTAAAGTTTTGAACTTTAATTTTGAACATCCTCTCAGTGTTGAGTAGGACATCCCTCCCATGTCACCTTGCAGTTGTGTGTTTCTGAGAACTGGGCTATTTTAGGGGAGCACAGTACTCTCAGTGCTCTTATTCTCAACACAAACTTTATCTTAGTTTGCTTCTCTTTGCCAAGTCATTGGCCAGGTTTTGCAAAGTAGCCCGTGTGTTCTATCCCACAAAGTGGGTGCTGAAGAAGTCTTGTCTCTCTTGCTGCAAAAGCTTTCTTTGGGAAAGGCACAGACCATGTGGAGGGGACTGGGGCAAAACACCTGCCCCAGAGGGCCAGACACACCAGATTGACAGTGTGAATCAAAGCCAACTACTCCCTGCAGTGAATTAGAGCCTCCGAGGTCTGTGCGGGGCACAGTTTGGCAGAGACTGGAGTGTCCTGATGGAATTTTCTTCAGACTTCACACTCCATTTAAACCAGGAAACCATACTCCTCTCTCAAGAAGAAACCAGTGTTTGCGAGCTCCCGCTGCAAACCTTGGCAAACCAGAAAAGGCGTGACTATATAGTTAAACCTTATAAACCATCGTCTAGTCAAAGCACAGAGGTGGCGAGTGGGAGAGAAAGATCTGAAGTCATTTTCTAGCCTCTTATCCCAGATCTGTTCACCTTAGTTTCTCATAGGCATGGAGTGGGAATAATCATAACATTTTCAGGTGTTTATTAGAGGTTTTAGAAGATTTTGAAGCTGAGAAACTTCCTTGACCGCTAACCACTTTTTAAAAATCAGAGGTAGTTTTCCTCTCTTACCATCTCAAATGAAAACCCTTTAAGTGCAGGTTGAGAAAATAACAACAAAAAGATTTGGCCATGCAGGTGTTAAACTTTTCTTCTAGTCCTTTCTGCCCCCAGATACATTACATCTCTTTTAACAATTATAAATGGTTTCCCTCTGGCAATGAATGTTTCCACACCCTCAACCAGTTTTACAGGTCAGGCTTTTTTTGGCCTCAAATCCAGGACTTGGTCTTGGAGAGTGGGCTCCACAATTACTTCTGCAGAGACCACACGCTCACCATGTCCTTCGGAGATAATCAGCTTCAACTTTGTGAACGTGGTTTGTTTTTTTATTTTTTTGTTTTTTCCCTTTCTTTTTTTCTATCTTCAGTCCAAGAAATGTCAAAGCTGCTTATCCTGGATCACCCCTAACTCCAAATCCAATGAGCTTTGAAATCAACAGACTTTTTTTTTTTTTGAGAGTCCCCTTTTCTAGCATGGCCATTCATCATGACTTTTATGATCGTCCATTTAGTGCTGCTCGCCAGGTATCTGAACAGTAAACCTAAGCCTAGGAGGACCACCTCTTAAGACAGAGGGACTCCATGGGGTCCTGGGATCCCCTGATCTGGCATGCAGCTGGAAGGACATCCAACCTCACACTATTGTTCAGTTTTCACATAAAACTGGGACTGCTGTGTCCTATCTTCCTGTCTGCTCTCTGATGATCTGAGAGGTTTCTCTTCCTTGCCATGAGCTTATGAAGCAGTACGGGCAGGTGGGGGAAGGAAAAAGTATTGTTCTTAAGACACTTAAAAGATTGAAGTTTTTTTTTTTTCTTTTTAAAGATTTTATTTATTTATTTGACAGAGGTCACAGGTAGGCAGAGAGGCAGGCAGAGAGAGAGGGGGAGGCAGGCTCCCCGCTGAGCAGAGAGCCCGATGCGGAGCTCTATCCCAGGACCCTGAGATCATGACCTGAGCCGAAGGCAGAGGCTTAACACACAGAGCCACCCAGGCGCCCCAAAGATTGAGTTTTAGAATGCGACCCAGGATAGATTAACACCTTCTACTGGAGTCCTTCGGTTATTTTCACTTTTGAGCCAATAAAAGTCACCTCCCAGGGGTCTGAACTTAGAGTGTCTAATCTTTAAAACAGACAGTTGACCCTCCTTCTCTGAGTGAATTTATATCTCAAGGGCCATGCGAAGTCATTATAGGGCCCCCCCAGCTGTGTACACATTGGGATGGGGGGCCGGTTTCAAACCCCGAGGGTTACTACTCCCCTTTTGCCAGCTGCTGTTTATCCCAGATTATTGGGATTTTGCTGAAAGGCACCCCAAAGCCATCCTGATAGCCTGACCTCTGCCAAGGAAGAGTGCAGAGAAGCAAGTCAGTCTGTAAATTTCAGGCTTTGGTATCATGGCCTCCGGGAAGCTCTGCCGGCTGGTCAGACGGGGTGACTGCCAAACAAACTCTGATGGACAGGGACCAGTGGTCAGTGGAGGACTCAAAGGAGCTGAACCCAGATCTGCTCCCATCAGTAACATGTGTCCTTCCCTAGCATTTCAGAGTGCATCGATAGTGAAGCCGAGACGGTCATGCAGCTCCGGAATGAGCTGAGAGACAAGGAGATGAAGCTGACCGACATCCGCCTAGAAGCCCTCAGCTCCGCACACCAGCTGGACCAGCTCCGGGAGGCCATGAACAGGATGCAGGTGAGCCCTGGAGCGGGGCCCCAAGCCCCAGGCTGTCTGGGAAGGAGTGGTGAGGGGGCTGCTCTCCACCACACCTCCCCCAGGGCCACCAAAGGTGGCAGCCCTCTGCCTTGCGAACCTGTTTCTCCGCTCTTATCTTTTTTCTTTCTTTTCCAAAGTAGCAAGGCTCCTTCTCTTCTCATGCCTTTCCTGATATTGCTCAAAGTTGAGTCTTTCTTTCTTTCTTTCATTCTTTCTTTCTTTCTTATTTTTATTTGACAGAGATCCTAAGTTGAGTCTGTCTTTCTTTCTTTCTTTCTTTCTTTCTTTCTTTCTTTATTTATTTTTATTTGACAGAGATCCTAAGTAGGCAGAGATGCAGGCAGAGAGAGCGGGGGAAGCAGGCTCTGCGCTGAGCAGAGAGCCCGATGCGGAGCTCGATCCCAGGACCCTGAGATCACGACCTGAGCTGAAGGCAGAGGCTTTAACCCACTGAGCCACCCAGGTCCCTCAAAGTTGAGTCTTTTCGGAGTAATGGCAGAACCGTGCGTCCCCGTCTTGTGTGCCTTCCAGCAGCTCTGCCATCCCATCTTGCTTGCGGCCGTCTCCTTCCTCTGGCCTTAGAGACTGCTACGGGATCCTTTGTAACCTGGAATCGGCCACCCACCCAGTCGCAATTCCAGTTTCCAGATTCATCAGCCAGAGGGAGCCCCTGAGTGCTCCCTTTGCCTGTGCCAGGTATTTCTGTATCCTAGTCCTGGTGTTCCCTCCGCGGGAAGAGCCTTGTGCACGGCCAGACCAGACCCTTCCCTCAAGGATTAGCCTCCCTCTCTCCATAGCATTTCCAGGTCCTGCATCTGCAAGAGTTAGTGCCCTCATCTGGATTCCTCGAGCCCCTCCTCCCCTCCCCCCCGAGACTAGAAGTCGTTTGGGTCTTCTGGCTACTCATTCTCTGCGTTGTTTTCTCTGGATGTAGCTCCAGTGCTATGGACGTGGTAGCTTTTCCCTACACATGTGTAGAGAAGAAAGAGCCGTGTGGGCTCTGCCACATGGGGCCTCACTGGAGAACCAGCGTTTCCCAAAGGAGGTTCCATGACACACTCATTCCATGAGAGGCTCTGTGAATGGAGAGCTCCTGGCTCAGCTATGTTCAGGACTGTTGCACACTCTGACCTCTCTGAGCCCTACAGAAAAGAAGCCCGCCAAGCCCAGAGTCTCACAAACCTCTTGTATTGTAAGACTCTCAGTTAAGACTCAGACAGCAGGGGCGCCTGGATGGCTCAGTGGGTTAAGGCCTCTGCCTTCGGCTCAGGTCATGATCTCAGGGACCTGGGATTGAGCCCCGCATTGGGCTCTCTGCTCAGCAGGGAGCCTGCTTCCCTCCTCTCTCTCTCTCTCTCTCTCTCTCTCCCTGCCTCTCTGCCTACTTGTGATCTCTCTCTGTGTGTGTCAAATAAATAAATAAAACCTTGGGAAAAAAAAAAAAAAGACTCAGTAGACTCTGGGAAGCATCTCTGAGTCTTTCCAAAGGCCAGCTCTCCACAAGGATGGCCCTTGCCTCGCCAGACAGGTCTTGTGTGTACCCAAGAGCAGCCAGCGTGGCCAGACCTCTCCGATGGTGTGACTGGCTGGGCCTCGGCTGGGATTCCCACCTCATCCCTGCAAGGGACTTTCCAGTTCCTGCTCCAGAAGATGCTTGCTTGTGTTCCATCCACCTAGTAAGCGAACCTCTCCCTTACTCTTTGCAGAGTGAAATAGAGAAGCTGAAAGCTGAGAACGACCGGCTGAAGTCCGAGTCTCAAGGCAGTGGCTGCAGCCGGGCACCTTCCCAGGTGTCCCTCTCGGCCTCCCCTAGGCAGTCCATGGGCCTCTCCCAGCACAGCTTGAACCTCACGGAGTCAACCAGCCTGGGTGAGTGGCATCCCGGGGCTGGGGGCAGGTCAGGGCCTGCAGCTGGCACTCCAGTCTCCAAGTAAGAGCCCCGAGATAAGCAGATGAACAGATCAAATGGAGAGACAACAGGCGTGCGTGCACTTGGGGTGTGTGTGTGTGTGGGTGTGCGTCTGCTACCGACATGAGCTCAGCCGTTAGACTGCTGTCATGCTTTGCTCCAGTGCCCCCAGTTCTCCAAGCCATGAGTTTGGATCCTCTTGTCCGCCATGCTGAGTTCCGTTTGATCCATTTTAAGAGGCTGACCCACAAGCTGAATGCTGCATAAAAACTCCGTAGTAGCTGGTCGCAGCTGGGGCAGTGGCTTAGTCTGTGTATTCCTGCCTTCAGGATGGATTCCCGGCCAGCACCATCATGAGCCTACACGAGCTAGGTTTTCTTTATAAGCATATGGAGGCTGACGCTTTGATTTCCTATCCATGATGCTACGTTGCTCTCATTTTGGTTGAGCCCCTGCCTCGCACTTCCGTTTGGCAAGGCACATTGTGAGCCTGCTGGTTCTTTCGTTGGTCCACCATTGGTTTCTGTGGTTGCATTATCCATTCTGCCCTCTCCCCTTCCCCTACCCCACCCCACGTCCCTGCACCCCGACACCTGGTTTGTCCTGCTGCCGTGGCAACAAGCAGCGGGGGTGTCAGGAGGCCGGCTTTGCTGTCCCCATGTGCCTAAGGCTGTTGATGTTTTCCATTCGCAGACATGTTGCTGGATGACACTGGTGAATGCTCGGCTCGGAAGGAAGGAGGCAGGCATGTTAAGATAGTTGTCAGCTTTCAGGAGGAAATGAAGTGGAAGGAGGTTAGTTGGATCCCTTTCCCCGCTCTGCTTGTCCCTTCTCCAGGTAGAACTACCTAGCTTAGTGATGGCATCCTCAGACGGCATCACCTCCACGCCCAAGGTGATTCGGAGGTCCTACTAACACTTTCCTTAACTAACCACAGTCTCTGGCAGCATTTTGACACAATTAACGTGAACAAATGGCCCCTCCCTCCCTCTCGTGTTTGGAAAGTCTAATAATACTAAAAATCGTCCCGTCGCACTCGCACAGAACTAACGAAACACTAACGTCAGTTGGAAACGGCTTTTCTGACTTTAATGTGTCCCGAAAGAAGGCAGCTAAGCACAGTTAGCACGGAAGGCACGGAGGCAAGCCGACCCAATGCAGCCGACTCAGAGCACCAGTCTTGTCCAGGGTTCAGAGCCCGCGAACAAGGTGGGACACTGAGGTGGCTGATGTGAAGCCGGTGGGGCGTCCTGACTCCCCAGGCTGAGGAATCTTTGAGTTTTCTGAGTAGTTCTAGTTATCTTCCAGAGCCTGAGGAGGCCACACCCACACTAGGGACAATTTGGGGAGTAGGGGTGGGGGGTTGGCAGAGCTGACTTTTCGTCATTGAGTCAGTCCACACGATGCTGAAATGACCCTCTCTCAGAGAAGCAAGAAAGATTTCACGAGCGGTTATTTCAAGTCCTCTTCAGCTGTTTGTTTGCTGTTTCTTGGCATCCTTGCCGACACGCTCTTTGTCATGGAGGACTGCCTGGGAGCCTGCCATGCCCACCGCAGCAGAGCCGTCTATGGCCAGACCCTCTTTGCCAGAGGATTCTGCGGTGTGGCTGGCCCTCCGGTCTTGTAGAAGGGGGAAGGCCCAGAGTTTGGAACTGCCAGTGACTTCTCCTCATCGAACCTAAAAATACGTATATTTTTATATATAAAAACAAACCTAAAGAGGTCCGTTTTCAGAGCTTAAGTCACGGCATGATAGGACTGTCAAGGGAACAATTCATTCTTAGAATGTTCTTATAAAAAATTCAGGGGACACCTGGGGATGTGCCTTAATCCAGTGATCTCAAGAGGAAGAGATCGATTCTACATTTTACAGAAGCTTGAGTCCTTTGAGAAATTGTACTGTTTTGGATCCCCGCAGGATCCAGGTGAAGCGGGTCAGCTGGACGGCGTCCCCTCCGTTTTACAGCTGAGAAACTTATCACCCAGGTGTCATTTACTTCAGGTCACAGGGTGACTGGTGAGGCCAGATTATCTCACCGTAAGATTGGTGCTCTTTTCTCTGCTGACTTTGCTTAACTGCCACACACACCCCACCCCTTGCTGCCACTCTCCTAATTCTCTATCCCTATGAGCCTGTCAGAGCTAAGATTTTAAAATGCAACAAAATGGAATAGTCTATTAATTTTTCTTGAATCATTTTGATTAGTGAGCCCTACCCTGTGCAGAGAGCCCTGTGGGCAAAATTCAAAAGACATAGAAAAAGTTATTTTTTGTGTGTCAACTTCCCAGAGTTTTCCTTGTTTTCTGAATTGAGTATGTTTTAACTTTTAATTAGCAGTAAAGCAATAAACTCTAAAAAAAAAAAAGAAGAGAATCGAACATATTCTGTCCTGAAGGAGTTTAAGATCTAACAAGGAGATAAACTTGATTTACAAATAAGACATGAATACCTAAAAGTAAATAAGTACAGAATATGTTCCATTATCAGTTTGGTACAGAACCAGTGAAGCAATGGGAGCTCTGAGCCTGATGGGTTAATCACTAAAGGCTTCCTGGAAGAGGTGAGTTTGCAAGCAAGGTTTGGAAAGGGAGAGATGGCAGATAGGAGAAGGGAGAGCATTCCAGGCCAGGGACATGATCTGTGCACTATACACGGCACACCTTTAGAAGGTTCTCGATTCCAGAGAGGAGATCCTCTCTTCCTGACCCACAGAGTACTGTTTTTGCAAGAGAGCAGGGCAAGTTTTTAAGATGATTGTTTTCCATCTACGGTGTGTCTGGTGTTGTAACAAATGGGACTTTTATTCCCCTCTCAACCCATTGGTGGCGCTCTAAGGCAATCTGCGTCCTTGCTAAACTGTGTCAGAAAAGATCGGCCTGTTTTTCACCTACATACATTTCCTTACCCTTAGGATTCCAGACCACACCTCTTTCTTATTGGCTGCATTGGAGTTAGTGGCAAGACGAAGTGGGATGTGCTCGATGGGGTGGTTAGACGACTGTTCAAAGTAAGTGTCAAAGAGGACGGCTACGGTCGTCTGCCTGAAGTGTGGGGGCCCGGGCTCAGGGAGGGAAGGGGTGGTTTGTGTGCGGAACATGGCCACCGCTTGGGTCTGCCCCCATCCTTGTGTTGCTGGGACTTGTCTCTGGGCAGTTCTAGTAACAGGAGGATGGTGAGTACTGGCTGGTGACTTGGCCAGCCTGCCCCTGGCTACCCTTGGCAGTGGTCGACCAGCCCATGAGAGTCGTTTCCCTGGCCTCAGGCAATTGTCTGAGCCTCGCGTGGTGAACTGCTAGTTGAATATTGAACTGACTTAGAATATACTTTGTATTGAGTACCTTGTGGCCAGGGCCATTTCCATTCTTCATTTCCGGGGAACTTGATCCGACTTGCCCAGCATCCCAGCCAACACTTCAGAGTCTGTGAATGATTTTCACTTTCTGTGACATTAATATCTGATCGATGGCCAGAGTCAAAGAAGCTGGTATTTCCATATTTGTTCTAGTCACATCACTGGAATAACCAGATGTTTGACCTGAAACATCTGGTGCTCAGGTGAACCTCAAGCACAAGGTGGTTTGGAAGAAGCTTCTTGGACATCTTTTTTTCTACTGTCCTCAAGGGAGTCAGCAATCATAGTGTTGAGTAATCACATCTCCTGAGTAGTATTGGTAGCCTGCATTTTTGGTGCCAGAGACCATCCTAGCATTAGCCCCGATTTATTTCCAGGCCTGTGAGGAAGGTCCTATTATTTTCCCACTTAAACAGGAAGAAGGTAAGGCTCGGGTCACTTGCCCAAGGTCATGGAGCTAGAATGCAACCATGTTGATCCAGCTGAGTTGGTGTGACTTTAGAACGTGACTTAAATAGTACACTCCAGTCTCTTTCTAGCTTCTAGATTAAGGTGGCTTCTCATGCAGGAAGCCCTATTCTCCAGGCAAAGATCGTTGCCCATCTTGGCAGGCTGTGGAAATGTGACCGGGCAAGGGATGGAAATGGCTGAGGCAGACCTGCCCTGCTGCCCAAAACTGAGCTCTGCTGATGGGGAGCTGGGCCATCCTCAGATTAAAAAGACAGCAGTTTAGGCTGAAAAGAGCCTGTGGGGTATCACGGGGAAGGAAGTGAGACCATTAAAGGTCGCGAGGCCTGTCCTTAATAACTCTCCGTCGGTCATCATCCAGCTACCTCCTCGCCCACAGACCTCCAGGCCAGGTTCACTGACCTGAAACCTTTTGGTCACTCACCTCAGAGGGCATGCTTTCCAAATTAAACACAGTTTTTTCTGTTTAAAGATCAAAAGCTGCTTTTTTTTTTTCTTTTCTTGCAGCCCTGGGGTTTGCTCCTTTTATCATCAGTGTGGTGTTTGCTCTGAGCCAAGGGGAGGGGCTGGTGGAGAGTTCTTGTCAGAATTTCTCTCTCACGAGTTTTCCAGCACGATTCCCAGGCCCTGGTGTCTTCAGGACTTCAGCTGAATTTAAGAAAAGCAGCCTAACATTTCCTTGCTTGGTTCATCCAGACTAAACGTTCATGATTATGTTAGGGCTCCCTCCCTGTCACTAACCAAATAAATCTGTACTCAAAGAGGCCTGTGGTACTCGGGTCGCCATCCCCATAGAAAGTTCTCCCCCCCCACCACCACCCTTCTTGTTCCACAGCTCGGTTTCAACCCAGGCATCAACAAAGAGAAGATGATCAGAAATCCCTCAAGGAAAACATGAGTCATGGGCAGATTTCTAGCCACATCTTTGATGGGGTCTTGACTTTATTCTTCTCAGGAATACATCATCCACGTCGACCCCGTGAGTCAGCTGGGGCTGAATTCAGACAGTGTTCTGGGCTACAGCATTGGGGAAATCAAGCGCAGCAATACCTCGGAGACCCCCGAGCTGCTTCCCTGTGGCTATCTGGTCGGCGAGAACACGACCATCTCTGTGACCGTCAAAGGTAATTCGGCTGATGGCGGAGGTCGGGTTTTTGGGGAATTGCAGTTTTTGTTTTGTGACATGGCGTAGGAAACTGTGGCTACTGTTTGGTTTGCACGCGTGTGGGGTGGGGGGCAGGCTTCTCTAACGCCTGCAATCACAGTCGCTCTTACCTAAGCAAGTTCAATGACCTTTAGCTTTTTCCACCACCGCCAGAAGCAGATAGTTTTAGTTTATTGCTGAAATTATATAACAAAAGGTCCCATTAAGCCTTATGACTCTGAGATGTTGGCATCTTAATAGCCCTGCGGAAACAGGGCTCCACTGATACCCATGGGTTGCTCTTGCCAGCCGGCCTTGGACATGGTCCCGTTCTACAGGTGGGAGCTGCTCTCACCCACGCACGGCCCTGCTGGCGTCTCCGGTGGCCTTATCACCCAGGGATGCTAGGCCCCGGGCCAAAGTGTGTGCCAAGGGATTCTCAGCCCACAGAGGATCTTGTGGGGGCAGAATCCTGGCCAAATGAGTCTAGCAAGCTGCATCATTGTGTATTCAGGGGACAGGAAGACAGGAGTGTACGGGGGCACTAACACCATCCTCGGATACATGGACTCCTACCGGGAAGAAGGCTGTTGAATTCAATCTGACACAAATATATTTGACGGCAAAACCCCCCTTTCCCCTATATTTTATGAACTTCCCCTCACCCCCTGCCAAAGAATGGATTAATGAACACTATAGCACCTTCAGGTTGTTCCATCTTACTTCCCTGTAAGGCACAGCTTTTTCTTTTTAAAAAAAAAAGATTTTATTTATTTATTTGACACAGAGAGAGAGCATGCACAAGCAGGGTAGAGGCAGGCAGAGTGAGAGGGAGAAGCAGGCTGTCCGCTGAGCGGGGAGCCCGACGCGGGGCTCAATCCCAGGCCCCTGGGATCATGACCTGAGCCTAAGGCAGATGCTTAACCAACTGAGCCACCCAGGTGCCCCAAGGCATGGCTTTTGACTGTAGTTTTAACAGGGCATCTTGGGGGTGGTTTGACATAAGCTTTGCTTCCTGGTTGGAAGGTATTTCAGAAGCACCCCACCATTCCTTAGGAGCATGAGTTCTTACCTTGTTCTTCCAGGGATGAGTGCAATGTTACCACCCGAGCCTCACACACAGCCTTCTTACCTTGTCGGTGAGCAAAATTGCATACATGTGACGTTGGATGCCAGTGACAGGAACCTACCCCAGATAGCTTTAGCGGGAACACGAAACACACCTGGAAAATGGCAGGGACCGCTTCAAGCGTGGCTGGATCTGGGCATCCCAACAGTGGCCTGAGAACCAGTCCTGCCTCAGCTTGGCATATTTTCTGAGCTCTGTGCACGGCTGTAGAAATGGCCTGGGTAGCCCCAATTCATCCTTCTGGCTGGGGAACCTAAAAGTAAGAGAATGTCCTTTTGGAAAAGTGGGACAGAAAATCCTAGCAGGTGATTCTGGCCCACCTGAGTCAAGTAGCCATCACTGAACCAGTCATGGCCTGGGAGAATGTTTGGCCCAGCCTGGGCCCTTGGGTGCTGAAGGTGCTGGGTCAGCCCCACTTGAAGGCCCTGGAATGAGCTCCCCATAAGAAAGAAGAGTCCTACTAGAAGGGGCAGGAGGAAGGGGTACTAGGCACACCAAAAACTGCTGCTTTACAAAAACCCCCTCAGGGAAAGCCTTATCTGTCACGAGCTCCAACTGCGTTTCATCTGTGCTGGTGAGCGTGCGTGGTCACTTGCAGGTGACAGCTACAGTCACTGAGGGGTGAAAGGAGTAATCCATCACAGAGATCTGACCTCTGTAGAAACCGGGACAAGATGGTCTGCCAAGGTGGAATGTGCCCGGCCCCCACCCCAGCCCAATCTGCCATGGTCAGCACACCAGGTTGTTTAACATCTCGAGGGATCCGTTCAGGTTTATTTTTAAGTGACACCTGACTTCTGTTTTCCAGCAGTGCTTTAACCCCTGCCTTCAGGACACTGTAAACCATGCAAGAGTTAGAGCTGAGAGATCCATGGACTGCAGAGAGTCCACTGCAGTGGTCCCAGGGGTGGGGTGTGGCTGGGCACACCCTGCAGTGAGTTCGTGGGCAGAATAGTCACTCCCAGGGGGCTCTAGGGCAAAAAAACAAAAGAGCATCAGCGTGTGTGTAGAGAGAGAGGTTTCTGTGGTCTCGTGATTAAGTTTAGACTAGAGACCCTGCATTCCACACTTTGCATCGAGTTCCAGCCAGTGTAGGGTACCCTGAGCTCAGTACCAGGGAAGTCTTAGGCCTGTACCCAAAAGATAAGTCATTTAGAAACCTTCATCGTGGTCATTCTGGAATAGTCTCCTGCATGTAGGGGCCATTCTCAGAAGTTGGGGGAGGATTGGAAACCGGCATATAAATGCATTTGTGAGGTCTGTTTGCAGTGAATAATTTCGTAGAAGGAAGATACTACATTATAAAACAGAATAAATGGGGGCCCTGGCTGGCTCAGTTGATCTCAGGCTTGTAAGTTTGAGCCCCACAGTGGGTGTTGCAGAGATTACTTAAAAATGAAATCTTAAAAAAAAAAAAAAAAATAGAATAAATGCTCTTCATTTGACTCTTTACCTACCTACGCTAGTTTTCTTAAGGTAAGTTTTAACAAAACTGCTTTAGGTTTTAGACCGTGACCTTGGATGGATCTTCTTTTGAGAATGATATCAAGAAAATAGTTGTTTTAAAAAGGCCAGGTTAAGCATCTGACTTGGTTTTGACTCGGGCCATGATCTCAGGGTCTTGGGGTCCCACACATGCTCTCTTTCTCTCTCTGACTACAAATTAAAGTTTTCCCCCAAAAATAAATAAGTAGCCAACAGCCCTGGGGCACCTGGATGACTCAGTCCGTTAAGCGGCTGCCTTCAGCTCAGGTCATGATCCCGGGGTCCTGGGACCGAGGCCCAGGTTGGTTCTCCCTCTGCTCTTCCCCTCTGCTCATGCTCTCTTTCACTCACTCTCTCAAATAAATAAAATCTTTACCAAAAAAAAAAGCCAACAGCCCTGACTGGTGGAGCGGTCCCACCTAGGAAAGGGGAAAGATACATTTCCTTTTGATATTGTTGAGACTCAGAGGTCTTGCTGGGTAGCCTCTCGGCTTCCCCTACCCATCGTCACATCCCTGAATCAAACTGCATTTCTTCGTTCTCAAGATGAAAGGGTGGCCTCCTTTCTGGCATATCTGAGTGTGGGCAGCAGTGCCTTGGGGCACAAGAGAGAACAGGATGACCGGCAACTCCAGGGTCTTGGCAGACATGGGAGACTCGGGTCTGGTCTGGGCAGACAGCAGCAGCACAGTAAATCCAGACAGGAAAGCAGAGCCCAGCGTCTTAGCAATTCTGCAGAGGACAGACAGGGCCCGAGGGCCTGGGTGCCGGAGTGGAGGCTGAGTCTGGGCGAGTCGGCCGAGCCGGGGGCTGGGCCAGACGGTGCTTGTGAGCAGACAGACGGCTATGGCTGCTTGTGCCCTGCCTCCCGTGTACCCGGGTGGGCAGTGGTCTCAGGGGGAGTGGCTGCCGTGGACAGAGCTCGGCAGTCCCGGGGGCACGTGCAGAGCCACCTGTCGTACAGGGCTCCAGACCCTTCCTGTCCCTCTCCAACGCAGGGCTCGCAGAGAACAGCCTGGACGCGCTGGTGTTCGAGTCCCTGATCCCCAAGCCCATCCTGCAGCGCTACGTGTCCCTGCTGGTGGAGCACCGGCGCATCATCCTCTCCGGCCCCAGCGGCACTGGGAAGACCTACCTGGCCAACCGGCTGTCCGAGTACCTCGTGCTGCGGGAGGGCCGGGAGCTGACTGACGGCGTCATCGCCGCCTTCAACGTGGACCACAAGTCCAGCAAGGTGAGGAGGTCCTGTGGAGGCTGCCGCTCAGCCGGGGCCTGCGGTGAGTGGCCCTTTCCGGGCCATCGAGGCCACCCCTGCCCTGATGGGGACTCACGGTCACCCGTGTGGGCTCGCTCGGGCTTGCGAAGAAAGCCTGCGGAGGATGTCAGGATGGGGGAGTAGGAGGTGCAGCGAGGGTGCCACCTGTAAGGAGAGGTGGCCCGCCCCTCACTGGCCCGCTCTGAGCTGGCTGGGACGCCCAGGACTATGAGTCCTTTAGGAGCGCCCCAGACGCATCCATTTTGGCTTACTGAGAACTCGTCATGTGCTTGCTTGGTGCTCTTGTTTCTCCCAAATGAAACATCCTTTTGAGGAACGGTGAGGACACGCACAGTAACAGCTTCCATCACAGACCACTTGCCCATGACCAGCAAACTGGCTGCCTCACGCTAGTACCCTCGAGGGGGAGGTCATGGCTCCTCTCATGTCACAGAGGCAAGACCTAAGGCTCGAGGCGGGTGGCCGTGTGCCTAGGACCCCTAATGGTACAGAGCAGTGGACTAGAGTGTAAGTCAGAATCCTAGACTCCAGAGCTGGCATCAGGCTCAGTCCTGCTTCATGGGGACCCCTGGGGAAGTCTGGACCTTGTCCCGGGAAGTGCTTTCTCAATCCTGTTTGCTGCTCATGCAGTGGGACGTGATGGATGATTTGCTCGGGCTGGCCCTAAGCAAGGGGACTGGTGAGTCAGAGGCAATTGGGAAATGACTCTTCTGCCTTACGAATCACCTGGCATGCTCAGAAATACAGATTGCTGGACCTCATTCCCAGATGATGGCTTTCAGTAGGTTTGGCAGTCTGGGAATCTGCGCCATTCAGTCTGCTGGGTGATTTTTGATGTCAGGGTAGAAATAGAAGTTTTCAGAGTGCCGGTACCCAGAGTCTCTGTGTGAGCCCGCTTAGGGAAAAGCACCCTGTCCCAGGACCAGTGAGAGCAGGGTCCCCCCAGACACGTGGTTGGGGGTCAAGCCCAGGCTAGATTTGAGCCCCCCCACCGACGTTCCCCTTGACCAGCACCCTCGGTAGAATGCAGCTTACCAGCCATACCCCTCAAGCCCGAGTAGGGGAAGGAAGGCTCTGGAAACTCTGTCCTTGTCAGGTATCTGAGGCCACGAACCCCTGGTGGAAAGAGGCTAAAGGAAGAAGAAATTACTAGTAACTTAAAAAGTGGGGCTTTTCCTGATGCTAGCAAGCCACACTTGGACTTAAAAGGGAGGCCTGTGTGTGTGTTTGTAGGAGGGAGGGGAAGCATCTCCCTCTGAGCTATCGGGCTCGTGCACGGGACCGGCTGGTGTGGTGAGGAGCCCACAGCGAGGCAGGCCCGAGTCTGGAGCCAGGCCCCTAATTCCGATGTGCCCTAGCTTCCTCTTTGGTAAGAGGGAGGGAATCCCAGTGCCCACCCAAGAAGGTGACCGTGGGGCTGCAGAGATTCTGTGTGTGAGACTCTGAGTCCCTGGCCACCCTTGCTACGACGGTAACACTAGCAGCCAGGCATTCTGGTGCCTTGCCGCTCGTCTGCACGCCATCTCAGCCGTTCCTCTTCTGCACCATTATCCTTCCTCCTCCTCTTCTGACCCACATCTCTAACCACAGCCGTGCTGGGATGCATCCTAGTTCCAACCCAAGCCAGTCCCATACCTCTTCTCCACAGTTCAGTCCAGAGCTTACCCTTTCAGCCAGACCTTCCAGGGCCCCCTCGGCACGTAGGCCCTCTCTCCTGTGCCGCTGGCTGGCTGTGACGGCACTCACCGTGTTGGGGGAGCGCTCCTTTGCTGTATCCGTCCATCAGGGGCTTCTGTGTGAGTGGCTCTCAGGCAGGTGCTGTGGGAGTACAGACGTGTATAAGGCACCCGCCCTCGGGAACTTACTGGAAGGTCGGCATAATAAACAACATCAAGAAAAATGGCAACACTTGCAGAGAAGTGATAGGAGCAGGGAACACAACCGTGCCTGGGCAGCCAACAGTGCCTCAACACAGGCTCACCACAGCCTCCTCAAGGGCCTTTCCGCCTGTGTGGACCTGGGCAAAGTGAAGGCTTCAAGCACGTGTGTCTTTATTGGGGAGCATTCCCCCGCTGAGTCTTCCCCCGGCCTCCCCAGGAATTGCGCCAGTACCTGTCCAACCTTGCCGACCAGTGCAGCAGCGAGAACAATGCTGTGGACATGCCCCTCGTTATCATCCTGGACAACCTGCACCACGTCAGCTCCCTGGGCGAGATCTTCAATGGGCTGCTCAACTGCAAGGACCAGAAATGGTAAAGGACAGCTCTGGGCCCCATCGCCCCAGAGGACGGTGGCCGCGGGATGTGTGCTACACGTGCACGGTGCCCCCACAGCCTGGGGTCCGCGGGCGGGGTGGGGGAGGCAAGCAGCCATCTGCCTGCTCGGGCAGGCGCCGTGGGCTTCCGAAGGCTCGCCTTTGACTCACCGAGCCTTCTTTTCCGTCCCGTCCCCGCAGCCCTTACATAATTGGCACCATGAACCAGGCTACCTCTTCTACTCCCAATCTGCAGCTTCATCACAACTTCAGGTGAGGCACAGCTGTCGGGCGCCTGTGTCGGGGGTCGTGCTGAGCATTTGCCCGGGTGTAACCCATCTCGTTCCCACGACAGCCTCAACAAGGTAGACTGATCTTGCAAATTGGGACAGGGAGGCCGAGAGAATTGCTTCGCATGGGGTCACCTGGCCAGTCAGTGGCAGAGCTGAGATGGGAGCCTGGGTCTCCCTGCATCTCCGCCCTGGGGTAGCCGTGTCAAGGACGTGGCTCTGGCCTTGCCCCCCTGCCCTCTGCCTGTCCCTGGTGATGCATCTCTCCGACCCAAGTGATCCTGAGAAGCGGAAGCTCTTGCTTTTGAGTGTCCTCTCAGAGCTGGGTCTGTGGGGCTTTGTACTCCAGCTGCTGGGAGGCCCTCGCCCTGGCCCTCTACCAAAGTGCTGTCACTGCTGGGATGTGGGAAGTGGAAAGGACTGTCCAGCTCGGTCATGCAACATTGCGATGTAGCTTGCCTTGCTTAGCTGGATGCCCTGTGCCCTGCGCCGCCTCCCAGCTGACTGCCCTGCTGCCCCTCTCCTGCCTGGGTCCTTTGAGACGGCTGGGAAGCTCCTCTGGGCTAGGCCCCTGGCTTATGTTCACTGGCCGCTCTGCAGGCATCTCTGAGGGAAAGCTATTAAAAGTGGACCTGAACTGTGATCATCAGAAATGTCGACTCCCCCAGGCCTGAGATCACGGTCATTTTTGCAGCCAGGCTGTCCTGGCTCATCGGTGCTTTCTCCTTCCTCCCTACCACCGCAGCTCCCCGCACACCTTCACTGCAACCCCTGTGCCTGCCCGCAGCTTGGCACCCTGTGGGCCCTCGGCTACACCAGTAGCAGCTGAGGGAGCATTCCAGAATCCAGATCTGACCAGAAAACCGTCATGCTTAAAGTCCTTCAGTGGCTCCCCATCACCTCCGAAATGGAATCAGACCCTGTGGGTGGGCAGGTCAAGTCTGAATGCTGAATTACACTGGTCACACTGAATCTCTGCCTTTTCCCCCAAAGACCCCACACACCTGTGCAGATGTGGCGGCCTGGTCTCCACCCCCCTTCCCAGCCCCTCCTGCTCTCAGACATCCGCTCCTCCGGGAGGCTTCGCTGTTTCCCCGGGCTTTGTCATGTCTTGTTCTTCTGCTCTTTTACTTCCTCCACTAGACTATGTGCTTCTGGGGAACAAGGACTGCGTCTTAGTCTTTGTCACAGCCCCAGAGGCCAGCTCACAGCCCAACTTCCAGCACGAGACATAGCAGGCTCAGCGGTTAGAGCTCAGACTCTGGAGCTGGACCGTGCTGGTTCTGATCTTAGCCCTTCTGTATATTAAACAGCTGTTTGATCTCAGATAAGCTGTTCAACCTGTCTGTGCCTCAGCATTTACATCTGTGAAATGGGGATGGCTGTCACAGCTCTGTCACAGGGCTGCCGTGAGGGAATTGGGATTTAATGTGTGTGCAGTGTTCAGAGCAGTGAGGCTGTCCTTGTAACAGAGAAACCTTCCTCTCCTCCAGGTGGGTGCTTTGTGCCAACCACACGGAGCCAGTGAAGGGCTTCCTAGGCCGGTTCCTGAGGCGGAAGCTCATGGAAACAGAGATCAGTGGGCGAGTGCGGAATGTGGAGCTGGTAAAAATCATCGACTGGATTCCCAAGGTCTGGCATCACCTCAACCGCTTCCTGGAGGCTCACAGCTCCTCAGACGTCACCATAGGTAGGTGGGAGGCCAGCCAGGGGACGGACGCTGCTCCTGGGGCCCTGGCCGGGACAGCACTTGGCAGGCACAAGTCAGCCAGATGCCACACTGTCCACACGGATGAGAAGGGGACAGAGGGATGGTCACAGCCCGGGCAGACCCTGTGCTGCCGGTCATCAGCATCCGGTTCTGTCTCTTTCCTCCTCTTTGCACAGCCACTAGGGCTGATCAGAGCTCGCAGCCGGCCTGGGCCAATGCCAGCTCCCTGATGAGCCCCCACTGCCAGGCTCCCCAAGGGCAGGCCACCCGGCGACATGGGCTCTGCTTTAAAAATAAAACACAATCAATATTCCCAAAGCTTAGGGTTCAGAGAAAAAAAGACCGATCACCTACTGTTAATTTGAGCTTCGGTGTTCTGTCCTTGTCCGGACATGTAGGCTTTGTGTGGGTGCAAACACAGCGTGCACACAGGATGCTCTTTTCTTTTTTATTTCCCGTTGTCCCCAGAGCATCTGTGTTGAGGCTCTGTTTTCACAGTCCTTTCCAAAGGCTGCAGAGTAATCAGCTGTGACCATACTGTCGTTCGCGTAACCTATTCTCTTCTCTTACGCTGGGCGCGCCTCTGATTCCAGCAGGCAGGGTTCAGGGTTCGTCGCGTTGTGGTGAACATCTCTCCCCATAAAGCCTCTCCTCTCTCTCAGATGATTTCCTCGTGGGGAGAGAGATCCCGGGGAAGCGGTACTTACACTGCCATTCAGAAGATCACGGGGTTCCTCTTGTGGGGTCTGTTAAGACCGTGGCTTCTCTTAACCCCTCCCCTGCCCCCCCGTTTTGGCTCTGACTGATTTTTCCCTGTGGTCCCCAGGCCCGCGGCTCTTCCTGTCGTGCCCCATCGACGTGGATGGCTCCAGGGTGTGGTTCACCGACTTGTGGAACTACTCGATTATCCCTTATCTCCTGGAAGCCGTCCGAGAAGGACTCCAGGTGAGGAGCACACTTGCCACGGGCCTCCTCAAAATTGGGGTGGGGGCAGGGACTGTTCTGGTGACCAGAGGAGTAGTCTGTATCTCCTCCGTTAGACGTCCAACGGACGTGGCGTGACCGCCCCTCATGGGGGAGGCCCTCTGTCTGGCCCGGAATAGGACATATCCTGGCTCTGCCACTGTTAATGTGGGACCCCAGGCAAGCTGGCAGCCTCTCTGTGACCTAGTGCCCTCGCAGACAGAAGGGGAGAGTGACGGTCCTCCACCACGAGGAGTCACAACAAGGGTTAAATGCAGTCGTGGCCAGAAAGGGCCCAGCACGGCGAGCGCACAAGAGAGGGAAGTGTACAGTTTGGGAAGTAGTCTCCCCTCTGCTATTTGACTCAAGCCCTGCTTTAATCCCAGAACTTGAACAGAGATTTTTTTTTTTAGTTTTTGTCTCCATTTTTCAGGAGAGGAAAATTAAGGCTCAAAGAGAGTAAGTGACTTGCCCAAGGTCATAAAAGAGATGCTTGAAGAATCTGAGATTTGAGTTCAGGCCTCTAGCTTGAAATCCAGGTTCTGAGGCCTCGGCCCCAAAGAACTCACTACCTGCCACCGGGACAGTTTGCCCTCCCGCCCCCAACCGGGAAGGACCCTGTGGCCCACGAGGTTGCAAGTCCCTACAGAGCAGCAGCTGGAATGCAGCACCACTCGATTCTCATGCAGCCCAGCCTTGAATGCTACAGGCTTAGCATCAGATTGGAGCCTGCCCCAGGGGTCACTGTTGAGCCTGGAGGCCCCTTAGAAGGTCTTAGGCTTGCAGCCCCCACGCTGAGTAATGAGCAGGCATCAGGCACAGCGGAAGAATCCAGGAACCCATCAGGTTCCCAAGGGCTCCTTGGTTTCCTCCATACTGGGCACCTGGAGACCCGGGGGGCTGCTGTATGCCTGTGGAGGGTATAGGACGGGGCACCCCCACGTGCATGTGTGGGGTACAGCAGTGGCTGCGGTCTGCGTGTCACTGCTGTACACGCGGCTGGGCCCAGTGAATATGGGACGGCCTTGTGCCACGCAGTGGTGCCCATGGTTTCCGGGGGCGTGTGGGACAGCAAGAACTGGGAAAGGAACATGCTTCTTGTGACTGCTGTTCCATGGAACTGGAGGGCAGGTCCTGCAAATGCAGGGACCCGTGGAAACAGAAGTGCACCATGCAGGCAGACCCGCAAGAAGTTAGGCAGTCCCTTGGTCAGCCCCAAATTATTCATTGGTCGTGTGTGAAGACCATTCCCTGATGGCAGCATTTCTCCTGTGTCTCATGGCTTTCATAAACGAAGGTGTGAGGATTTTAGATCTTTGCAGTAAGAATCCCCCTAGGTAGATAAATTCACTGGCCTGGGTCACTGGGCCCTAATTTAGTCTTTAATCAGATGATCTGTTAGTGCCACAAAGCCAAGTGGCCATGTAGTCATTCCATTTTCTTGGGCCAGTGGAAGCTTGTCCCACATGCTGGACTCCTGAAGTCTGTTGCATTTCGGAAGCCCCTCTCCTCTGTTCACCCTCCATGGCTTCCCAGGGCTGCACTGTGCCTGGCTCCTCTGGGAGACCCCATGCTGCTCAAAACAAGTAGAGGAATTAGAGGTGGAGGAAATGCACCATTTCCTCTTATTTCTGCCTCGCCTTTCGCTTGTTCATTTGCTTCTTCTTTGCTCCAAATTTATCTTGTGATGATGGATAGGGAGTGACTTCAGAGCATTCTTGGAAGAACCCCTGGGCTTTGTTGGTTAAGAGCCGGCCTCCTTTGCGCAGTGAGCCCCAAACCAGGAGTGGGGAGACACAAGGAGTGCTCCAGCCTTGACCTACCCATCAAGTGGCTCCCTGTTGGTCCTCACCCAGGGTGGACGTGCCAGGACCCTGCTCCTTTAGACCTGAATTTCAAAGGCCCTCTGGGCACAGAGTGTAAACTGCCCTTCCTGAGGTTCATGGTGAAGGAGCATTGTGTCTCCTTCCCACCAGGAGTGAGAAGGCAACAGGTTGAAAGGATTTGGGGATGGCTATAGACCATTCCATCAGGGACAGGGAACAGAGACACGCCACCATCTCGTGGGACTTTTCGGTTCAGTGTGAAGCAAGGAAAGTCATGGCTTCCCTATGCTGTGAGGTCATTTGAAAGACCATCTTTGAAGAGTGTGCCCCAGTTAGCATTTTACCAAGCTGCTCAGAAGTGAGCCACCTTGCCCCACACCTGTGACCTCATCATCCTGGGGAGCCCAGGAAAACCACCAGAATCTGCTGATTCAAGAGGAAACCTGGTGTGCTCTTCAGGCCTCTGGTTTTGAAGGAAAGTCTGCTGACGTTGACTGAGGGCTTGCTACTTGCTGGGTGCTGCTTGGGGCCTGATGTGCATGATCTCTTATAGTTCTAACAGCTCGAAGATTACCTCGTAAATGAGGAGACAGGCTCACGAGAGTTTTTGACTATTAGCCAAGTTCACTCAGTGGGATGAGTGTGATGAGCCAGCGTTGGAACCGTCTGGCTGACTCCTCCATTCCTTCTGGTATTTTCAAGCTGTCCTGAGGACCCCCTAACTCCCAGAAGCCTCCGGTGGCTCAGGGAACAAAGTATTGTGTTTCATAGGGTGGTTTTCTACATAAGATTTCATGTAACAAAGGGATGCCTCTCTTTTTAAAACAAATTTGATTCCCCACGCCCCCAAGTTAGTGGAATCCACGCTGACTGTGCACTGGGCACTGTGCGGGGTCACTCCTCACATGACCAGGCGAGATGAGCATGTGGCCATGGGGGTACCGTGGTTCAGAGCAGGCAAACATGGCTTCCTTGTGTGGAGTCAGAGGCTCACAGAGGCTCAGGAATTCATTGCCATTGTCTTAGCCCACAGCTCCTGAGCCATTGGGCACACCAGGCACCTCCCTGCCTGGGGTAGGTGAATGTCCCATCTGTCTGTCTCTCCATCCAGCTGTCTCCACCGCTTCCCAGAGCTGCCTCAGGGCCCTGCTGCCGTGGGGCCAAGGAGCTTTTATGATCATTCCTCTGCCTGCCACGGTCCCAGCCCAGCCATTCATCACCTGGTCTTGAACATGTCTAGTGGCGAGTGTGGAAGCTTGTAAAAATATTTTCTGTCCTTGCAGGTGATGTTCACATGGGCCTAGTGTACATTTGTCTGATGACTCAGTTCCCAGTTCTGTTCTTCTTTGGAGCTGTCATTGTAAACATTTGCTGAAGTGTCTGAGGTCTTTAGAGCAACTCAAAGGACCCACGTTCCCTTGTGGGGCAGGGGAGACCATTGGGGTCTTTATCGGATGACCCAACCGGCACTGAGACCCTGGGCGAGTCTCCTGTCTGTAGGCCTCAGGTTCTCTGTGATCTGAGCAGCTTAGACTAGAGGAGTATTTTCTCTGGCTAGCTTCTGTGAAGCCCAGAAGATTTTCCAGGCTACTCACTGGTAGGGTCAGGGGAAGAGCAAATATTTGAAAACCACTGGGCCGTATTATGTCTAAGGGCTGGACGAGCTCCACATCCCAGCCTCTTTCTCTGTGGCCGTGAGCCTCTTCTCCAGACTGACTCCAGAAGTAGGGCCACGTAGTAGCTCACGTGTGAGGTCTGGCTTGGGAAAGGAGGCCCAAACCTCCCTCTGGTGGGAGAAGCTTCTAAAATTGCAGGCATGTTTCTGATTGGGAGCAGCCTTCTTCAGTTCTGAATATCCCCCAAACGCGTGTGTGTTCCCTCCCTTCCTGGCATGCACGCACGTGCACATGCCCACACCTTCCCATCATCCCTTCGTGCGCAGGCTATGAACAGCCTCTAGAATGCCAGGCTGACTCCTCAGGCCTGAGACTCACCACTGCCCCAGGTGAGGGAAGATTTAGGGACAGACAGGTCAGGGTGCTAGACGGGAGGGGTGCAGGTGTCTGAGAAAGCAGTGAGGTCATAGGAGGGTGTGTGTGTCCTGAGTGTGGGCGGAGCCAGTCACTAGTTGGGATGGGTAAGCCCATGTGCCGTGCAGGCAGGGTGGGTGGCTTCCCCGACAAATCAGACATAAAGGTCAGAGATGCTGTTCGCAGTCATGACTCAGCCAAGTTGGCTCATCCTTGTCTGATGGACAGTGGTCTGCCTCTCCCCGGCCTGGTTTTGGCTGAGTCATGTGGCCTTGCTGATACCAGGCGGACTCAGTCAGGAGGGATAGAGAGGGGAAGAAAGGCCCAGACAAGGAAGCTGAGGTCCTGGGTTTGAATCTAACTCCGCTCCATAACCTTTCATGGCTGGCGCTTCTGTTTAGGCCCTGACAACCCCATCTGGTAAATGAGGCCAGAGGACCCCAGTTCCTTCCAGCTGGGGCAGCCTAGGACCTGGATAGATGTGGTCTTCTGGGCAGTCAGAGCTCAGCTCTGTTCTGTGAGCAGGTCCTCTCACCTCCCTCTCACCTGTAGAAGTCCTGGGAGGGCAGACGGAGCCACCGTGCAAACAAGGTGCTTCAGGAGTCTTTGGTCTGTATACCCCTTGGCTCCCTGTCGAGGGGGAGCCTCCCAGAGCCACAGAGAGCACCGTGCTGGGCGAGCACACCTACCACGTCTCAGACTCGGTGGTGTGGGGAGGCCGGCAGACTTGGATTCCCATTCTGCTGCCTTTCCTTCCTGGGTCTGTCCCCTCATCTGGGAAACTCGGCCACTCGTACTTCCCCCTGGAGTCCCATGGTGGTTCAGTATTTGTAAAGCGTTGCTGACACGCCATCAGCTGTGAGATGCAGCAGCCTGTGCTGACATTAGACAGAAGATAAAGACGAGGCCTGGTGGCAGCCCCGCTCAGGGAGGGGCGGCGTCCTGGGTTTCTGTCCTTGAAAGACAGTATAGATTTCCTGACATTGCCAGTAAAAGTCAGGGCAGTAATTTTATCATTAAGTAGTTAAGGCTTAAGAAAAGGTCTTAAGTGATAATGTCGTTTTCTTTCAGTTGTTAAGATTTTGAAGGATAATAGTTGAGAGAGAGACTTAAAATTCTGATACCCGTGCCTAACCTCTGTTAACAGAGTGCTGGTTTGAAAATGACCGGTGCTGCCGGAAGGGGCTCCGAGAGTCCGAGCTGCTTCAGGAAATGGGTTTTTATCCAACCGGGGCTATCGGTGACCACCACTGTGGTGTCTTGATGCCTGGCCCTCGATCTCTGTGGGAGGTCATCCTCGGGGAGTGGGGCACCTCTAATGGGACACTAGAGCCGGCTTGTGTGAGCCGATGCTCAGCACCTCCTTCCAACTCCAAATTCCATGATTCCATATTGGTAGTTTGAAATGGGCCATAGGAGGAGGATTTACACCACAGAAATTAGCAAATGCTTCAAATCACGCAGTTGGGGCTGCTTTTCAGATTGAATCGCAAAGCATAGAGTTCAGGGTGACGTGGCGAGGCGTTGGCAGAGCTAAGATGTGGACCCAGGTCAGCCTGTCTCCAAAGCCAGCACCTTTGACTCCTACATCACGTTGCCTTCAGTCTTAGCACATCAAGCTGTGTGTACCTCGGGTGGCTTCCTTCCTTAGAATTCTGGAAGTGGAGTTACTCCATTGGGAAAGGCATCATGCTGGGCTTGAGGTTTCCAAAGGCTGCAAAACCAGGGCTGCAGAAGAGGTCTCGGGCCACTCCCAGACTATTCCTTCTTTGCCTGTTTCCAGCTCTATGGAAGGCGGGCCCCTTGGGAGGACCCCGCCAAGTGGGTGATGGACACCTACCCCTGGGCAGCCAGCCCACAGCAGCACGAGTGGCCTCCCCTGCTGCAGCTCCGGCCTGAGGATGTCGGCTTCGACGGCTACTCCATGCCTCGGGAAGGGTCTGCGAGCAAGCAGTTGCCCCCCAGCGATGCTGAAGGAGACCCACTGGTGAGTCTTAGCTCCCGGAGCGGCTCAGCTTTTACTGAGCACTTACTGTGTATTGGTTGTGATGCAAGGCATCACAGAGAACAGAGACGGGACTGAGCCAGGGTCTCACTTTGGAAGGCTGGACCCACACCAAGGTTAGTCACACTTTTGCCAACATGCTCTCTCATGATGTCAGTTTCTCACTACAGCCTTGAACCCTCTGAAATTTGTTCTGGTGTAAGGTAAAAGGTTATGAATGTGATTTTTTTCCAGCCTCAGTGCCCCTGTCCCACTCTTTGCCCTCTGACTAGAGTGCCACCTTGATCACGTGCTGTCCTGCCCCATTCATCTCTCCCACTAGTGACCAAGCAGAGACAGCTCTCTGTTGCTAAGGAGCAGAAGGTCGGGCCAACTGATCAGGAGCACAGGCAGGGAGAGGTCTGAGGGCACGGGGGGCTCCCAGAGGACAGGGCAGCCTGAATGCAGGTCCCAGGGCCAGCGACCTGAGCTAAGTCTGGGTAACATTGCCTGAGCTTTTTACTTACCCCCATCATTACGAGAACAAATAAAGGCCCTTTGAGAAGAGCCTGGATAGGGACGCTAACACTATAATTACAGTGTCCTCTGCCTACGTGAGACTGTGAAATTAGACTTAATAAATCGAAAATTCTATTAATGAAGGTAGAAGCACATATCCCAGAGCCTCCCACACTTAGGTGACCATTATCATGCCTTCAGTTTACCCTTGAGCTCCCTTGGCAGCTAAGGCAAGAGGAGCAACACAGCAGAAAATAGGACTTGTGTTACCTTTTTTTTTTTTTTAAGTTAGGTTTTTTTTTAAGATTTTATTTATTTTATTTGACAGAGATCACAAGAAGGCAGAGAGGCAAGCAGAGAGAGAGAGGGAATCAGGCTCCCTGCTGAGCAGAGAGCCTGATGTGGGGCTCTATCCCAGGACCCTGAGATCTCAACCCGAGCCGAAGGCAGAGGCTTAACCCACTGAGCCACCCAGGACCCCCTTACTTAATGAAAGAACATATTCATAAGGGATGCAGCAGGATTAAAAGACAGCTGACTTGCTATCCTTTCCCTGATGACTAATTGATTTGCTTGATAAATATCATCATCATCACTGCTGCTGTGACTTGTCTGCCATCCTTCTGACTGGCAGGAAGGAGCTGTGGTCCTGGGAGCTTTTCTTCAGCAGGAGCTATATTTTAAGTGGGAGTTACTATGTTACTATACACAACCTAATGTACAGCGTTTACAACAGTGGTTTTGCAGAAGAAAGGACCAGCCACATCCGACATGAATTCTGGCTAAAGCCAGAGTCATGGAGATGTTTTTGTAGCTGCAAGCTCATGAGCTCTTGCCTTACATAAAAATAGAATTTAGGAGATCTCTAGAGGAAAACTTGGCTCCCTCGTCCCCAGAACCTCTTCTCTTATGCAGGAGTATTTGTGTCCCTGACTAAACAAGGGCATTTAGGTAAAGCCTGGAGCTCTTGGAATCGTTACATAGAACTCTCCCTCCAACCCCAGGTCCCAGGAAGTGAGCTATGCTGGGCAGTCACCCCCACGAAACAAATAGATACCTGGTGTTTCTCCCTGCCCAGGGCCCGAGGTCTCTTGCTAACCGGTCTCTCTCTCCCTGAGGACTGACTCGTTTTCTTTTTCTTTCTTTTTTTTTTTTTTTTTTTTCAAGAATATACACTGTAAATACACTGGGGCTGTTTGATGAGTGAATAATCGTGGCCGCCAAGGATTGCCTGTTGTGCTTCGGCTCCACCTCTTACCCGGTGGTGGCTACACCGACAGGCCCCGCTGATGGTGGTTCTGCGCCCTGGCTCACCCAAGGAGACCATGAGGCATCCTGAGGGGCAGCTGGCTGGGAAGCAGCTGGATTTCATGCCCAGCTGCTTCGCATCTTGGCCCGAGCTCAGAGAGACCCTTCTTTCTAACTTACTTGCTACATAGAATCAAAAAGACACAATGTACAGTTGCAAATAACATTGGTTCCTTCTTCCCCCTTTCACTGGCAAACAAATAACCAAGACTGTAGGCAGGGAAGGTCTCAGAACATTCTTTAAACCTTATAAACAAATGATGGTGATGATGGCAGATCTCCTTTATTGAGAACTTCCTACGTGCCAGCCCCTGTTTTGCGGGTCTGAGGCTCCTCCTGTCCTTCGACCCTGTGAGACACAGGTGCTCTTGTTCTCTCTGCTCTTCAGAGGAGGACCTGGGGGCTCAGATATGGAGGTAACTTGCCTGGAGTTTCCTGCCTCGGCATCCAGGTGCCTCTGTGCTTTGTGGCTCTGCTTGTGGCTGTTGCTGTCCTTTACCTCCCCGTGGTGGCCTCGGCAGGAGCGGGAGCGTTGCCAGCTCCAGGCTGCCCTCTGGCGCCAGAGCCAGACATCCGCATGGGCTTGTTGCTCTCCAGAGGGGTAGCCGTGTGCCTCACTTATCAGCGGGGCCAAGGCGGCTGGACGGGCATCTCCCCGCCACCCGAGGGCTGTGCTTGGGTAAGGTGTGTCACTTGCAAATACAAGATAAATACTGGATTCCTAGAAGACTTCCTCTTTTTTGTTTTTTGTGATCTGCCTGTATTCACTCAGTCCACACCCATAACATGGTAGGACAGGTACGATTGTTCTCATGGGGCCAATGAAGAAGCCGAGACACAATAAGGTGAAGTAACTTACCTGAGGTTATGTGGCTCCTAAGTGCTAGAGGCAGGATTGGAAACCTGGAAGCCTGGCCTGGAGTTCACAGTTTTGTTTTTTCATCCACGGCCTCTGCTGTGGGCTGCAGCCCAGGGTGAGTCTGGAGGACAGAGCAGGAGCCTGGAAAAGTCCGGAGGCGGATGGCTGCCAGGCCGAAAGCCGCTCACGTTCTCGCTCTCTCCCCAGATGAACATGCTGATGAGGCTACAGGAGGCGGCCAACTACTCCAGCCCCCAGAGCTACGACAGCGACTCTAACAGCAACAGCCATCAGGATGACATCCTGGACTCGTCCCTAGAGTCTACTCTGTGACAGGGGCCAGCCATGGAGCCTGCCTGCCTCTCCCTTCCGTGCCCCGCTCCATGCGCGTCCCCTGCACCCCCTGAAGATGCCCTCCTGAGCCAGCCCCCCGGCCGCAGAGTGAGAGCGCAGGGATACCCAGACCCCTCGTCCTCCAGCCTCGACTTGGGTGCGGGCCTCCCGGGCCAGCCGCCTTGGCACCGTTCCCTTCCACAGCGAGACCTGCACTATCTCATCGTTTATTTTCATTATCGTTTGCCTTGTTGCCGTGACCTCCCTAAGACACTGAAGTTACTTCTCGGGAAAGGATCATCACCGTTGAAATGGAAAGGTTTATAAAGAAAACACACACACAGAAACCAAGAACCCACTTGGAAGCTCTGAAACCCAACAGCATCGTGCTGCGAGCTGCGCAGAGTAGAGAGACTGGAGCCAAGCTGGAAATGCGGGCAACACAGCTGCCCCTCCACACCGACCCCCTGGCTGGGTCTTGCCGTGGGCGCCTGCCTCTGCCTCCCCGCCTTCCCCGCGGCTGGCCATGGAGAGAGCTGGTGCTAAGGGCGCGGGCGCGGGGACACCTTAGGCAAACGCGAAGCGCAAAGCGAAGCCCGCTTGCTGGGTTTTTTTTTTTTTTTTTTGGGGCTTTTTAAATGGTGCTCTCCTTCCCCGAGGGGTATTTTTGCCTGTTCCCGTTCGGCTACACCTCCCAGACCCGTCAGCCTCCGGTCGGTCCCGATCGTGAGTGGAACGTGCACGAGCGGATGGGGCCACGGCGCGGACAGCGCGTGTCTGTGTCCTCCTCCTCCTGTCTCCGTGAATCAGGTTTTTTTCTGCAAACACTGTGGCCGGTGAGAATGGGTCTGTTTTGAACTGGTTACCCCCTTGCAAATGAGGTTGAGTTTCCCCACCCTCTTCTGACTCTTTGATTTTGAAGATTCCTCCCCCCCCCCCCCCACCTTTGGTCAGAATCAGTCCTTTGGTGAAAGAAAGAACCGCAGGAGTTGAGTTTCGGTTTGGTCCTGCTGAGTTCTGGTTGTTTGGTTGTCCATCCCCACGGTTTTACACCTCGCCGGGCCCTGCTGGGGCTGGGGGGGTGGGGGAGGTGGGCGTGTTCTTTCTGGGAGGACCAGGACCCCATCCTCCACGCGCGGGTGAGCCGGGACCTTGCCTTTTCTTCTCGTCCTCGAGGCTTCAGAACGCACATCGACACCTCAGGCGTGCCAGCCCCAACCTCAGGTGGGGTGCTGAGGTCACCTCGCACAAGACTTGCACTTTCCTCAGAACCAACGTGACGCAACTCCACAAGGGGCCGGCGGCCTCTCCCTTCCAGAAGCCCCGGCCTCCGTCCAGACGAGTCTTGCCTGACCTCTTCGGTGCTGACCTTCCCAAAGCAATGCCTTACTGGTTTTGTACTAACCGTGTTCATTTACGAGTGTTGTGCCTGCCTGGGGTCCATTATTCTTTTTCTTGTTTTCCCCATCAGAGCAAACAGGGCTAAAAAGTCATCTACTCATTAGGAGGACTCAAGTTGCTGTGACTTTTCTCATCCAAAAGACTCATCTGTGTGGATGCGTGACCATGGGTAAAAGAAAAAAGAAAAAAAAAAAAAAAAAATGCAAAAAATTTTTTTTTTTTTTTTTTTTTTTAAGATTCTTATCAGTCTCCAACTAACACTCTGCCTGGACAGTGATCTGTCTGATGCAGGAAAAGGCAAAAGTTCCAAGTCCACATGACATTGCTGATACACACCCTACTAGGATGTGTCTTCAACATACTGGTATTTTCTTTACAGAGAGTGGTATATCTGTAAGTTGTTAGTTTATGCTTTATGAAGAGAATCTTTATCAGGCCCCAGTGGGGGTGTCTCTGTTAACGATCAGGGTTTTTATTCCACCTTTCACACTTTCTATTTCTGAAGGTCTGTCTCTGTACATTTTTTTCTCATTTTCTTACCGCAAGAACTTGACCTGAAACTGCTCGCATGCCATTGGATGACACCACTTTCTTCCTCCTTAGAGGAAAAGGAGAATGTGTCCCCCTAGCTAGTGAATGGAAAAGCTCTCCGTGCTGTCCTTGCTCTCATCTCCGTAAACTCAGACTCTCTTGTGTGCAACCTTCATTAGCCATCTGGGTGTGTGAGTGTTGTCTTCTTCTGTTCTGGTATTTTTGTTTTGTTTTGTTTTTTTTCCCATAAAAACTTCAAACCATGAATTTAGCCTGTGACCACGGGCCACACCCTGAGCCTTCTGGTAAACCTGAAGAGTGGTCCTTCTCAATCTGTTTCCCAGCGATGACCTTACACGCTCATACTGTGAATTTGGGAGGAGATAAAATGGACTTCTCCTTGGGGGCAGTTTTCCCAGTCACCTTGTGAGTAGACACCTGCTAATATTGTTTGAAACCCGCCTCCTTTTTTTTTCATCTTCTCTGTCTTCTCCCCTCTACTACAGACTTCCCTCCCGCTGGGTCCAGGCTCAGAACTGAGACCTCTGTCCCTGGTGCTACCTGGCTAATGACCGGTGATTTCAAGTAGTGTAGCCCTTGTGTGATTCACAACTCCGTGTCCTTCCTAAAGTTTCGGGAAGCAGGGTTGTCTGATATGCACATTTCTAATTTCGGTCTTATTTTACTTTAGTGTCACTCACCTTTGACAAAGTGACTTTGTACTCATTTAGGGCTCTGTCCGAAATGCTTCCAGTTTGCCTTTTTCTACAGTTAGGCTAATTTTGAAATGTATGAAAGTCTATGCAACATTTATGTTGAGTTACCAATGGAAGCCAAAAGTCTTCTTCCCAAACTGCCAAGAATTAAACAGGCCATAAATGAGATGGGAATATCTTTTAATTTAAGTTTGGGGGTGAGGGAGGGGTGGGACAAGGAATGAGACTTGCCTAGACCTTTGTTGTGTCTTGGGGACATTTTTTATTTCACTGTTGATGCTTCAACTTCGAAATTCTGTGTACTCAAATTTGATCATGGCGAATCTACTTCAAAAGGAAAATAATCCAACTTTGTGGATATTAAATGGAAGGTTTGCTGTTTTAATCTAGTTGTTTCCAGTGGAGCAGTTGATGAAATATGTCCTATAAGATGTACATTTTTTCATTGTAACATAGAAATTGTAAATAATCGATTAAAGTGCTGCATTTTGATGAATTTTTTCTAGCCATTTTTAAAGAGAAAACTAGGAATTGAGTATTTTGTGTACGGTATGTTTCCTTCCTCCTTCCCTCCCGCCCTCCCTATTTAATTTTCATTTGTCATGAGGTTTTTGGATTTGCCAATGATCTACTGGAGATCACGCCCCACGTCATAGAGAATAAAGCCGATGATTGTACCAGTCTTAAATTATTCATGATTCAATAAAATTGATGCTTATTTATTCAGATTAGTGGTTTGGCTTTTCTGTGCTCGAGCAAGTCCTCATCGGAGTTTGACTGCATGGTGACAGCAACTGTTCTGGAGAAAGATACACAGCAGGGAGAGCCCCTAACTCTAGCAGACCTTCCTTTGTCACCAAGTCGTCTACATCCCGCCGCCGCCTCCTCAGTTTCTCCTCTAACTTTTTGCTCCTTGTGTGGGGCTTATTGGAAACGCAAACCTTGGGACTCCTCTGAAACTTGGTGAGTCCTTGGCGATCCTGTGGGAATGCAGATTCTGATGGAAAGGTCCAGGGTGTGGCCCGAGTGTCTTGATTTCTATCACTCCTCCCGGGTGATGCCAGTGATGTGTGTCCTCCACCGTGCTGGCAGCAGCAAGCCCCATTGGTGTCCGGGCAGACCGCCAACGGACTCCTTGGCACAGGCAAAGTTTTTGTTTTGTTTTTTTTAATGTATTGAATACCTATTAATAGCCAAATTGCTTTCCCAAACGCTCCAGTATAATCCACAAAAGGACCCTGAGGAGGTAAATATTCCTACTTCCATTTTACAAGTGAAGTAAACAGGATCAGAGAAAACCACTTACCAAGGATCCTGTCAGCTAAGAAGGCTGGGAGTTGGGAGTTCCAGCCCTGTCTTCCAAATCCAAAGCCTGCCTTGCTGGGCTGCTTCTGATCTTAGGGGCCCCGTTCCACCGAGCAGCTGGCAGCCATCGCAGGGCATAGACCGTGACAGATGAGATCACCTCTCAGCCTTCACTTTGAACAGCAACAACAAAAACTTTAAAGGCTTGAAGCGAGGCCTGTGGGTTCTCTGTGAAATAGACCCTCCACGGCTGACTCCGCGGCCAGTGATGTGAGCGGCTCAGCGCCTATCAGGCACCACAGTGGCCCAGCCCGAGGGAGAGAGAATCCAGATGTTCTACAGAGGTGCTTTTTCCTGCCGGTCAGAAAGAACGAAGGGGAGCTGGTGCAATGGTTCGGCTGAATTCCTAAGGTTTCCCATGTTGGGTATCTGTTCTACCCATTGCTACACAGTCTTGTTCACATGTTCTCGAGGATATAGGATCAGCATAGGCAAAGGGCATGATGACTTCAAAACCACAGTATCCACTTCTAAAACCCACGCCCTTTCTGCTATAGTCTCCTTAGGTTGGAAAATTACCCTTTTTATTCACAGATAACATTATGTACTTAAGATAATCCAAAAGAATTCACAGACATTGGGACGCCTGGGTGGCTCAGTTGGTTAAGCGGCTACCTTCAGCTCAGGTCATGATCCCAGCGTCCTAGGATCGAGTCCGACATCGGGCTCCTTGCTCAGCAGGGAGACTGCTTCTCCCTCTGTCTCTCTACTTGCCACTCTGTCTGCTTGTGCTCGCTCTCGCTCGCTCGCTCTCTGACAAATAAATAAAATCTTAAAAAAAAAAAAAAGAATTCGCAGACATTATTATAAATAGTGAGTTGAATACATCAGCTGGATACAAAATCAATACATGAGAATCAACTGAACAGGGGTGCCTGGCTGGCTCAGTCGGTAGAGCACGCAACTCTTGATCTCCAGGTTGTGAGTTCAAGTCCCACAGTAGAGGTAGAAGCTACTTGGAAAAAAAAATAAAAATAGTCAACATCTTTATGCAACCCAAGTTTAAGAATTTCAAAGGTACCAGTTTAAAAGCATCAAAAATACCTAATACCTAGGAATAATTGAAATATAAGATGGGCAAGCCTCCACACAGAAATGTATAAAACACTGTGGAGAGAGATTGAGGAAGACCCAAACATGTAGAGATAAATATTGTGTTTGTGGATTAGAAGAATCAGTGTTGTGAAGGTGTCAGTTTTTCCAAAACGGACTATAGATTTGACGCAATCCCACTTGAAAGTCCAACACAGTTTTATGGCATTAACGAGATGATTTTGAATGTATTTAAAAATGCAAATGGTGAAACATAGCCAATGGGGAAGAAAACTGAGATTTCTCTAGCAGATACCAGGACTTAACTGCCATAGTCATTAAGACAAAGAACAGGAACCGACAACAGTTCGAGAAGATAGACTAGACATTCCCCAAATAAACCCAGCACATGCTTGCTTTACTGCAGAGAACTGTAGCATCTCAGACCAAAGGACCTATTTCCTGGAGAAGGGAACTTGACTGAGGACACGTGACAACGGGATCCACTG